GAGGGGGAAGAGGAGGAAGCTGAGGAAAGTGGAATTAAGTTGGGAAGCATCGGAACTAAGAGTGAGAATTAAGCAAATAGTTTATTGCTCACTCTGGGTTATTCAAAAGCGGAATGTCCCCGTGAAACCCTCTGTATGTTAACGGTCTGGGGAAGGGCAAGGGGGCTCTTCTACACTCTCCTTTTTTTGTCCTGAATCTTTGCCCTTGCAGATGGGAGAACAAGGACGTGTATGCAACAGCGATCCGGAGCTTGAGGATGCGTGAGCTGCAGACACCAGAGTGCATGACTGCAGTGCGTGCTGGACTTGGCTCTATCATTCCCCTGCAGCTCCTGACTACGCTGACCCCTCTGGAGATGGAGCTGAGGACTTGTGGGCTTCCGTACATCAACCTGGAGTTTCTCAAGGTGCGAAGAACCGCAGCTTCCGTGGCAAAACTGACCTGGCTGACACGTAGAGGAGAGAACCCTCCCATGGGGGAGGTGTTAGGGGAGAATCTTCTGCTTGTGGTACAGGCAGGACGGTCCCTGGGGAACACTGGCCTGTACCTGGACACCACCCCCTTTGCCCCCAGCGAAGTTTTTTTTTAAGATTTCACTGGATTCAGGAAGTAATGAATGGGGCTTGTGCCAGAGAGAAATAATGAATTTAGGTTTTAACATCAAATTTTAAATCTCTCTCCATTTTCTTGAGCTTTAGTCAATATTTGCTGCTCGAGCTAAAGGCTGAGAGAGCAATTGCCCTTATTTTAAATTGCAAAGTCTCTGAAAATCTAAAATGAATCTGTTACAGATAACCTCTGGTCCTAAATACTTCCACTTCATTACCGTAAGAATTGTGCCATAAGAAGAACTGCTCTCTTGTGTCAGAAGTTGTAGAATATGCTCGGCCGTGGGCGTTGTTTGCCTTATCCAGCAGCACTGCTGAGCTGCCCCGGCCCCGCGGGTTGAACTAAACACTAGGACAAGGCTCTGACAGAAGCTGATGGGCAAAAATGATCCAAACCCACGTGTGTTAACACTCTCCCCTGGCTGGATTTCCTGATTTCTTTGAAAAGGCGGGAGAAGCTGGGGAGGTGTTGCTACCCTCCCCTTCTAGCCTCTCCCAGGGCAAGCGGGGCAGTTTTCTGTGGGGAGGCAGAAGCAGCAGCGGACATCGGGCTCTCTTTTCCCGCAGGCACACACCATGTACCAGGTGGGCTTGATGGAAACGGATCAGCACATCGAGTTCTTCTGGAGCGCGCTGGAGGTGTTCACTCAGGAGGAGCTCTGCAAGTTCATTAAGTTCGCCTGTAACCAGGAACGAATCCCCTTCACCTGCCCCTGCAAAGACGGAGGCCCCGATACCGCCCACGTCCCGCCGTACCCCATGAAAATCGCTCCCCCCGACGGGGCCGCAGGTCTGTTTGCTCTCGGACTCCTGAGGCAAAGAAAAGCAGTTGCGCTCGCGTGGTGGTTCTGTCAGTTCCCCTTTTTCTAATTTAAACTTGTATTTTATGCACAGAGGATGACAAGTGAGAGGCAGGTAGTGATGGCTGTAAATAAGGGGAGGGGGGACTTGTTTTTAAACCGTGTCAAAACAAAAATAGAAGCGAACCGCTTGAAACATTGCCCCCGAGAGACAATAAGAGACTTTGTATAATATTTGGCTCGTGTGCTTTTGAAATGAGAGGGCTATCAGAAAAACACCACCCTGAGGACTGACGGAGAAGCGCAGCAGTGTGTGAGGTTCAGGAGGCGCGTGACAGGCAGGAATTTTTTTATTTCACCACTACTTAGTACGGGGCGTGGGGGAAGGATGCTTTTGGAGACTGAGGTGAGGAGCGGCGGGCACGTTCAAACCCTTTGTGGCTCCTCTTCCCCTGCAGGTTCTCCAGACTCGCGGTACATCCGTGTCGAAACGTGCATGTTTATGATCAAACTGCCTCAGTACTCCTCGCTGGACATAATGCTGGAGAAGCTGCGATACGCCATCCACTACCGGGAGGATCCGCTCAGCGGCTGAGGGGGAGAGGGGATGCCTCGGGGGGACGGTCGGGATCGTTTCGTGACTCCGCTAACATTGGAAACCCTTCAGTTCACGTCAGAATACCTCCTGTAACACTGTGTGACGAGCTGGAGGTTAATTTATTTTCTGAACTTTTGTTCCTGTTACAATAATTACTGGACAACTTACATTTTGTATTCGTAGACTTTGTGGTGGACTGGTTATTTTGCTGCCTTGTTTGTGGAATATTTGTAGGATAGTTTAGTAAAGACCAGTTTGTGTATAATTTAATTTTGAAAAACCTTTCAACATGTACATTTCTAATTTTGTAATTTAGAATTCTATTACCCATGCAAACACAACAAAAGCGAGGGCGTTCGGAGTTCAGGAGCACCTGGAGGTGAAGGTTTGTAGATCGCTCTCCCCTGAAACATTTTTGAGTACAAAAATGGAAAGAATCGGGTGTGGGGAGGGAGTCGCTGCAGGAACAGAGCACGGTACCTCTTCTGTCGCAGGCAGAGGTCGTGCAGAATTGCTGGCACTTGCTTGAGTTTTACAGCAGAAAAATGTGCTGCCAAACTGCATGTTGACGTTTCCACCGTTTTCTTGTAACTTTTTAAACTCTGCGCAAGCACACGAGGCGCTGCCACAGTTAATCTGGGGTTTCAGCTCGACACTTTTCACTTTTGATTCTGGAGATTTGTAATTGAAGGAACAGTGAAAGGGTTGTAATTCGGTTGGGTTCTTGCCCCAGATGTTCTGGAATGTCTGCTTGGCTTAGTAACAAAATCATTTATTGTAATTAAAATGCTAGCAGAAACAAAATGGCTTCTCTCTGTATGGTGTAAGATACCACAGTTCAAGCTTCTGATCTGTGACTTTATCCTATTTCCGACTGAGCTTTCAGAATAATCAGTGCGTGGTTAAACACCCGTAAACTCATCTTTGTACTCAAAAATGATCTTTGATCTAGGAGGAAATTATCCAAGAAATGTGACACCTGCAAGGAGGATGAGGCGTGAAGATAAAGCTGCTGTTTTCTATGGAAAGACGGTAGCAGGCTGGGGAGAGAGAACAAATCTCCGAGTTTAACTTTTGTACGTTGTGAAATACTTCCTGGGGTGGTTTCGAAACGCCGCGCCAGCGCCTGCATCTTCCTTTACTCCTGTAAAAGCCGTCGCCCTGCGCCGGGTGCGTTCAGAAGCGCGGGCGTCGCTTTGTTAATCCCTCGGAAGCCGGAGGATTCCCCGCGTGCTGACGGAGGGACGAGAAGAGCCCGGGAGCGCCGCGGGCCGGATTCCCCTTCCGGCGAGGAAGTCTACACCGGGGTGTAACTGTACCTTAAGGTTGGTATTAGGTGTCTTTAGAAGACGGCATACGCTAATTCGGCTTGTCGGTGGTAATGGGAATTGAAAAAGCTGTATTTATTGTATATTATTGTGAATATTGGGAATGATGAGTGTGTGGTACTTGGAAGATAAGATGTGAGTAAGAGAGAACAGCCTAAACCAGTGTGTATATTCTTGTTCTTCTGTGAGCGAATGGAAAAACGTGTGTGCAACAGTTGTAGAGGTAGTTGTTGGCATACAGAGTCTCCAAATCCCGTGGTGAGGGACGCTGTGTTACCCCTCTCTTGCATATTGCCCTTTCAAAGGAACAGATACTTGTCGGAAGAATATTTACTCTTGCAGCTTGTCCATTTCCTGGTAGAAGCGTAGACGTAGCGGCGGGAGCGCAAAGCCGTGGAGTTCACAAAGCCCGGGGGGAGGAGGAAGCGGGAGGGAGGGCTGGGGCCGTGCCGCAGGGAACGGCGCGGAAGGGCGGCTGCATTTAGGGGCAGAACCGCCGCTCCCGGGTTGGTTTGGGGTTGAAATGGCCCATTTCAGGCCCTTAATGCTTTGGGCGGACTCGCGGGGGTTGGAGAACTCGCTATGCCAACGGCTTCCAAGGCTGTTGATCACGGCTGTGAGTCCGGAACTGCTGCTACTGTCTGTCTGCTCCTTCCAGAGCACACTGGAGTGGAACGTATCTGCAGCTTGGCCCTGACAAGTGTGCTGTAAAGTTACTTGATACATATTTATTACAATTAATTATTTATGATTACAGATAACAAACTTCTAGTCAATGCTGTTTACACCTCGCTGTGTAAATGAAGCTTCTTATACAAGAAAAATGTCACACCAATAAATAACCTTCATCCACTTTGTTTTTTTTCTGAGGAATGTCCTGCAAGAGAAGTTGTGGCGGGGCTGGGCTTTTTTTTTTTTTTTTTCCCACATGACTAGGAAGGAAGTGCTGCAGCGCTTTGACTGTAGCTCAAATGGCCTTTTAATTAAAGCTTTTCTAATCATCACTACTTCCTTGTGCTTTAAATGAACTTGACATTGTCTGTAATAGGCTTGTTTGTCAAAGCAAAGATTGGTTTGTGATTTTTTTTTTTTTTTTTTTTTTTTAAATATCTATTCATTCAGAATGTAACATTATACTAAACAATGGAAAAACTCTGGAGCTGGGTATTAGTTCTAGCTTGGTGTGTGTCCATCTCGGTGCCGTACACAGCATTAACCTGTTAAGTGCTCTTGGCCATAGAGTGTACACTTGCATAAAGGAGATTCTTAACATCCCTTTAGATGTATCGTGTCCTTCTTTGGGGCTGGAACAAATGCCACAAATCCTCCGCTGCAGAAGCTGCGCCGAGGCGGAGGATTGGAGCTGCTCGCAGGGACGGTGCAGGTTATCTGCTTTTCAATTCCCACTTCTAGGGGTTAATACACTGTAATTTGTATTTACTTGGAACAGAACTGTAAATATTTTGTACAAAAGGGAAAGCAAGCACAAGGACTGCTCACACGCAGTCTGGTGGGTGCCTGAGCCCTCCCGCAGCCTCAGCTGCTGCCTCTGCTCCCAGGGGAGTTATTTTCCTACTAATGCTCTCTGGGAGCCGGCCCTGGCACCCCCTTCACTCGCTGACCTGGCCCCAGCCCTTCTCCCCAGCAATGCCAGTGCAAGGTTGGTTGCCACCTCTTTTTAAAATACCTTTATTCTGCTTTTCTTGTACAAATAAATGCTTACATTTGGTGGAAGTGGCTGGCAAATGTCTTTATTTGAGAAGCAGGATCGCTTCAGCCCCTCCTTGGCTGTCCCTGCTGCAGGCTGGGGCTGGCAGCAGAGCCCAGGCCCAGCCCTGCCCCAGGAGGCTGCTGGGCTAATTAGCCCTGCTAATGCCATCTGCCCTACCCGCTTAATTAGGCTGATGCCCCCACTTGTTCTCTCAGCTCTGCATTGCCCCTTCCCCAAGCCCCTGGGATGCAAATTAACCAAGACCAACTGCAGGCAAAAACCTAGCATCCCCTGCCTCATGGAATGCAGCTGCACCCCACCAGTGCTTGGGAGGGCGGTAGATAAATTTTATTACAAGGAATTTAAAAAGCGTGGACTAAGCCAGCATTAAAAAGCGTTTTACAAGGCAGCCAGGGGCTTGGAGCTTATCCCCTGACAGCTCTAATCCCCCTCCCTGGGTGCTGGGCGCAGGCGCTGACACCCAAGGACACAGAGCAGGGTCAGGGCCCTCCCACCCCGGCAGCTTTAGGAGGGGGTTCAGCTGCTCCCCACTCCCTCCAGCTCCTGCTGCCCCTGGGCCGAGCCTCGTCTGCTCTGGGGGGTTTCTGGTTTTCATCTGGTGCTGGTGGGAGAAAGGGGCGAGCCCGGGAGCAGCAGCACCAGGAGAGAGGCTGGAAATTCCCTTACTGGGTGTCCCAAAGAGCCACCACAGCCACAGAACCTCCCCAGGGCACGGGGAAGGGGGTTTGCTGCCTCGGGACAGCACTTGTATCAATCACCAAAGTAAAAACCTGTAGTATACTCTCATGAATCAAAAATACATATATATATATATATATATATATATAAAATGATCGCTGCCTGTAAAAATTTAAACTCATAGAAAGTCTTCAATGACACAGCAATCTAGGAATTTACTTGCGCTCAGATAAAGCAGCAGTGCAGAGTGAAGGCGGAGAGTGCTGAACGTGTTTTCCGTAAGCAGTAGATCACTCCTCCTCAGGCTGGCCAGGTGCTGAGCTCGGGGCTTTTGCCTCAAGAAGGGGGAAAGAAAAAAGTAAAAATGCTGTTTTCAAAGTGTAGTTGGTAAAAAGGAATTGACAGAGACCTCCCTGAGGTGGGCAGGCCTGTGCAATCAGCTTGTGGTTGTGGCACAACCCTCACCTTGGCGTTCCTGCGCCGGAGGGTGACAGGACCATCTGCCAGTGCCGGGCGCCTTCCTGTGGCGTGACTGCTGCTGGGGAAGAGGAAGAGGAAGGACGGTGTCAGGGGAAACAGGCCCATCCCCCCCCCACTCCCACTGGTGAACGCACACAGGCCCGTCAGAGCGGGGAGGCCGGGGGAGAAGCCTGTCCCATGCCTGAGCCCCGACACTGTTATTTTTGTAGCAGAAGAACCAGATCCTGTTCGAAGCAAAAAGCTGAGCACACTGCACTGGACAGAGACCAAGGCTTTATCCTACATTTCCTCCCTGTGACACTTTGTCCGTTCTGTTTTGATACAAAAGCCTCTGGTGGCTGTTTGAAACTCAGAGACGCACCAGCCCAATTAAACCCGAGTGAAACCCTTCCAGCCCCAGGCAAAGACAAGGGAATCCAGATTTCCCCCCAAGGAAAGGAGGCAGAAGGCGGGTTGGGAAGTGAGAAGGTGCCAGCCCAGCACAAACAGCCCTCTGACCGTGCCACCGCTCCTCATGCTGGGAGATAAAGGCGTTACCTGGGCTGGGCTGGAGCACTTCTGGAGAAGGCGGGGGCCAAGGCTTCTGCCTGGGAGCTCCGAGCAGGTCGTGTCCCGCCTGCAGAGCCGCTTGCTCCCCTGTTCCTGGGCCTCCCCTCGCTGCCTGCCGCCCTCCCGGCCTTCCCGCCCAGGGCGGGAGCGTCGCGCGGCGCGAGGGGCAGCGGCACCTTCCGGGCGTTCGCCGGGTCGCTCGGCGACTCGGTGCCTCGTGCCGGAGAGCTGAGGCGCTGCTGCCCAAAGCCTTCCCGGCACCAAGGAGAAACATCCCCTGCAGGGACAAGAACGTAGTGTTTAGCAGGAAAAACAAACACGGCAAGAGACACGAGAGACCGTTCAGGTAACAAAACCAGACCCCATTTCCATTCCAGCAGCGCACAGCTTCATAACCAAGATCTTTAAGGATATCGAGTTTTGGTGATTTAATTTTTTTTTTTTTGCATAAAAGTAGAGGACTGAAGTTTTTTTAGAGACCACCACCGATTCACCTTGGAAGATTCAAAGGAAGAGCGCGTGCGCAGGGCTGTGTTTTACCCGCACCTTGACGCCTGGTTCGTCTCCGAGCCAGCTCTGGCGAGTCTCTTCTCTCGCCGCCGGGCCGAGGCGGCGGCAGCTGCCGCGATGGAAAGCTGGCGGCCGGGCTGGCCGGGCGCAGGTCGCAGTGGTGCTGAAGCAAAACATACATTTAGCTGCTGAAATGACAGCTCCGTCAGTCCCGTAAAGCACTGCAGAGCAGCACCCCCCCCCGAAAGACGAAGGTCAGGGGGGAATTGTTTTTAGGAACAGGCAGATGCTGCTGCCGACACCCCCATCTCCTCTCACACAGGCTATCCTGCTTATAAAGTCATGTTCTTCTGCAGGTTAATTACATCAAGGAACAACAAAATAAGATGACAGAAACCCACCTGACACAAAACAGAAATACAAACTAAAAAGGAAAACACTGTTTTACCTTTTTTAGATACCAGGAATACTATGTGGAACACAAAACTTTAAATGCAGGGTGTCCTTTTCCTGGTTTGTAACCAAATGCTATTGTTGCAACTCAGCTCCCGTAACTAATTCTCAACAAGTCCTGATTATTGTACACCAACTTCACCAAAAGTATGAGAAGCTGGTAGATAAAGTGGCCTTTGCATTCTGCATTTCCAAAATAGTTAGACAGGGTGAGGGGTCAAAAAAAAAAGCCTTCCAACAGCTAAGTGTAATAGGAAGTAGATGGGACTTCTCCTCAGTGTCAAGCATGACTATTTAGCAAAAGATAAGCTTTAAAATTTTATCAGATCTCATTTCTATTAATACTGATTTTACTACCACCTAGGAGAGGAAAGGCCCAGAAAAACAAACAAGCAAAACACAGCTTCACTGGTTTGTTAGCTAGGACTAAGAATGTGAAAGAGCCGTGAAACAGAAAATGAGCAAGTTCAGCGTTTTCATAAATTGTCTGTAACACGGCAAGTTCCAGAGGACTCGCTCTTCCACATGCACCCCACTCCCTGGCTCTGCTCCGGGGGCGTACGGAGGCATTAAAGCACCAAGTGGTCCAGCTGGTATCTGCCCAGCATCCCTGAGAAGCAGCAACAGCTCCAGCAGTACCAAGACCTGGTGTTTTCCGTGTGAGAAGCATTCGCAGCGATGCCTGGGAGATGCGGAACACCCCAGCAAGCTCCCCGCAGCACCCACCACTTCTTCCTCAGGCTGAGCTTCCGATGCATTCCTGCTCTTACCCTTTTTCTCTCTCTTGACATCTACCCTCCGAGACATTCCTCCATCTCCTAGATTTGTAGTCTCTTCTCTCCTACCAACACAAGTTATACGCTCAGGCTCCTCTCCCACCTTAGCTGAGTCATACATCCTGGTTTCAACACGACCTTTATGGATAAGTCAGACCTTTATATTGTGCAATTTCAGGGCCTTTTGTTTTCATTAAAAGAGCTTTCAAAATAATTGTTATTTTTTAGTAAAAGCCTCAGCATACCACAACATTTCAGATGGGACCCAAGAGGCTTTGTTGAGGAAGATGTGACACAGGGGACAGGTACTGGAATTCCTGAAATGAGCCACAACAAGGGGCTGCAGGACTTGGTGCAGTTCTCAAACAACTGGATGTGACACAGCAAATCAAGTTCTGTTTAGTACCTGATGATGAAAGAGCGTCTCCTCCTCTAGCTGGATGCCACAAAATTCACATGGAATCATAATGTTTCCTTCTGCCTGGACAGCTTGGGGCTGGTATGAAGAGAGAGATCTCCAGCTTTTGGACCCAATGGCACGCAGACCATCATTTTCTCGTGGATTTGGGGAAGAACTTCTTTTACTGAACGAGGCAAAGGCACTTGCTGGGTTACAACCTGTCTGTTATGCAAGCAACACGGAAAAATTAGCTTTCCTACTGAGCACAGATGGACTTTCAAAACCATGCTTTGCAAATACCAAACTGCTGGAGTTCTCACTCAGTACCACCGAGTGAAGGCTGCACCCTTTGTCAGTCACAGCAACGGAAAAAGGCCTTTACCACAAACCCATAGATACAATACAAGAAAGTACTACACCTGGTGAAGAATCAGATCTTCAGCAGGGTAAAGTTCCTCGCAAAATTCACACGGCAGCATGATGATCTCATCGCCTGCAAAGTAAGTAACAGTTATATCCTCTACCACAGAGAAGTTTGATGCAGTTGGACCAACTTATCTTCAAAATCCCTAAGCAATAGGCTTCTGTTCTGTGCCGCAGGACGGCAACTTGAGCAAATGCTAAGGAAACACTCTAGGTCCACTTGCCGAATGTCACATAAGAAATTCACGTCACCCAGAGTGAGAACAGTGTCTTGGGGTCAAAGATATATCGAAAGGTCTGGTAAAAAAGCCTATTACTGCTTTCAATAAACCCTTTAGTCCCATTTCTCCTTTCAAAATAAGCTGGCATGTCAGATTTCCCCCAGTTCCTCCCTTCCTATCATGTTTACTTCAGCAAGAAAGCTCTCACCCACCCAGTTGTTACGAAGCTCTCACCACATACCAAGGTCATTATGGCTTTTATTTCTTCTTGTCTTGTTTCAGCAACAGCTCTTTGAAAGCAACTACTGTAAACAATAATATTGCTAAGTTTTGAGGGAACAGAAGATAAAATTGAAGAAAGGAAGGAAGAATGGTACTCGTGGAGAGTCTAATCTCCTGTGTATTCATTATCTAAAAATGATTTAGAGGGAGTCTCAAAGACACTCATTTTAAAACACCTAGATAATCTCTAACGTTCCCAATCCAAGAATCCTCTCTTTTCTTCTCCCTTCCCTCAAACATTAAGGAAAAAGCCACCACCACAACAGCATTTATACTTACTTTTTATGCGGTTTGGTGTGCTAAAAGACACGAAGGAGTCACAGGAGAAGATATCTGATGAGTCTGTTTCATCAAGACAGGCAGATGGCACAGACTCTTTGGTGTAGTAGTTTTGCCAGAAGTCACTGGGAATTTCAGCTGCAGTATTATTGTGAGGATTATTCTCATTTTGTAGACTAAGAGCCAACACATAGTCTAAATCGGCATTCCACTCTTCATAAAGTGAAGAATTAGCGTTTTCTTTCCTCTCCAACTGCTCCAGTTCATCCTCTTCAAAAACATAAATATCATAAATTTGAGAGAACGTTAAGCCTGCAACAAGCAGTTCCCCCTTCTGGACACCAAACTAGCTCAGCCACGAGGGGTTCACGTGCACATGTGGACACTCATCGAGTTCAGCGTTCAAAGCCTAAAAGAACACCTGCATCAAATCCAGGAGGAAGGAAAACAGTCGTCCTATTTTTGTTTGTAACAAGCAAAAAAGGAGAAAAACAACAAAGTCGTTCCTCTTATTCCAAAAACTTGAACTTAAGTTTCTTGGAAGCTTTACAAAGTCACTGAGGAACCGTTGGTGACCTGCACTGTGAACAAGGCCCAATAATATACTGTACTCTCATCCCTTTTACAAGGCTGAAACACTTCAGCTTCATTTTTCAGTATAACAATGGGAAAACAAATTCCTTTTAATGCTACTACATTTGACAACAGTAGAAATTATACACGTAGAGAAGAAAACCATGATATGGTTTCTGGTAGCAAAGCTACGCTGAAAAGAAAACCAGGGTTACAGAAAAGGGCACAAGACTCAACTGCTGATGCCTAAAGACAGGCAAAGTGCTCCTTGCCCATGCTGGCTCTTTCGAATCGCTCTGATACTTCGTTTGTACTGATTACACAAGAATTTTAAACAAAGCTTCCACGTGCATAAAAATACCACTTGTGAGCACTCTTTGGAAGTCAGTGTAAGCAACCTACAAGTTACAGCTCTCCAGATTATTCAGTTTTATTAACTAAGCCCAGAAGTTATTTCCACAAGCCGGGCAGTTTTCTACAGCAAAGACTGTCATTCAGAATTCTGCAATGTTAAATCCTCTGAGTGGCCCATGGCATGAAGTAGAGCACAGACTGAGCTGAGAGCCCATGAAAAGGTTATGTCTTAAGCGTGACATGACCCCCTGCACATGGAGGTGAGAGATTAGAGGCTTAGGAAAAAGCAGAGGCATGGGTAATAGTCTCAGCTATGTCCAAACAGGATCTCACCACAGAAATGCTCAGCAGTACATATGTGAAACCCCATCCAGATCTTACCCACCCTTCTACTTAAGTAAAGAGGAGTGCAGTTGCTAAACAAAACCAGACAGAATTTGCTTTTACCAAACAACTCCAATTTCATTTTTAAGCCTGACACTTTGAGACAAAAGAACGGGCAGTGGACTGGGCTTTCACACCAGATACCTCAGCAGTCCTCTGTTCAGCCGGCTTATGCCTTCGCAGTTCTGTTCCATGGTAAAACAGCCCCACTCACAGTGCTTCTGGAGCTTTCATTATTCAGTATTTTCACAGAAAGCAATTACCTTATACTTGGATCAGCTGCCAAATACCAAATTAGAAGCCAATTACTGCTCTTCTTTATACCCTACCTCGCTTTTGATTTCTTTGTACTGCTGAAACATCTCTCCTGCTAATGTCCTGAAGGGTTTTGTCTCCTACACAGCTGCTATAAATCTGCTTTTCTAGCACCTCAGGCATTCTCCACAAAGGCCCAGCACAGTTACCTGATCGTAGCCGGTTTCTAATGTCTCGAAGGGTGTGCAAATCTGCCTCCTCATCCTCAAAGCGAGGCACTGTTCTGCTTCCTCTTCCTTGTTTCACCTCTTGCCCGCACACTCGAGGATGCCCTTTCAGATCTTTCACCATGATGTTATGGCCACACCCACCACACGTCTCAGTCCTAGCTCCGCAGTAGATTTCGTGGTCCTGGAGCTTGCTGAAGGCGAGCTGTATGTCACAGTACTGGCAGAGGGCAGGACGCAGAGGGCATGCTGACGCCTGGAAAAAGAAAAGAGGGATTATTCTTCACATATGGAAGACTGAGGCAAAGGTGGAGGGAGGTTCTCAGTTTCCTTAAGAGTTGAACGGTCTATTGTTTCTTTAGCCAGATACAAAGCTACACTAAAGAATAGCCGGGAATAAGATACTACGTGAGAAATGCAAGAACAACGTGTTGTATAACCTGTGTAGTCATAAACATGCCAGCTGGAGCACTCCAAATACTCAGAACAATTTTTTGTAAATCTGTAATGCTTGGACAGCAGATCCATATAGTGCTTTTCGAAGTCAGCTTTTAGATACAGCCTTGAAATCCAGTTCTAATCAAACTTAACTGAGTGATAAAAAACATGTTAGTATGTGTTTTATTAGGGAACAGATTTACATCTCATTTACTACTTGACAAGAATTGCTGGCATATGTTTTTTACCCTACACTGAATGACAGGTAAATTGCCCTTCAAAAGGGGTTAAACATAGGAAAAAAACACGTTAGACTTGCAGATGCTGCAAAAATACATCATCATTTGTTTTACAAACAGAACTGAAAGCACTATACACAAACATGCAGGATAAACTACTTCTAGGGCTTTGAACTGGATATACCTTCGAAGAAAATCCTCTTTTCTATTTTTCTATTTTCCCTTTTTTCCTCAGCCATAAGCAGACTTAGGTGGCACTTCCAGAGATGACTTTACATGAGCCCATAGGAAGGAAAGGTACTGACATTTATAACAAGATTGCCTGTGATAGCAACCAACTGGATTCAGAAACTCAGAAAAATCCCACTGTGTCCCACTTTAGGTTTTTTTTTACAACCTATTTTAAAAGTTTGTTTGAACATAATGAGTTATTAAAACTCACATAATGACTGCAGCAGAGTCAGGAATGCATAACGTTAAAGGGATGAAGAAAGTCAAGTTAATCATATTCGGTACTTTTGGAATAGCATACCATTTTTCATCTTCATCAGCACTAAGGACAAAATCACCAACTATCACAGATACCCCTTTGGTATGAAGACTTGAGCAGGCTCCACCACTTTACAGTAGTTTCCAACCACCTTCTCTCAGAGGGTGTGAATTTAAGAAAGCATGGTTCAATAAAAAGGATGCATAAATCACAGGTTGGAATCCAGGTCTTGGCTGACAGAAAGGCTCCAGAATCAGTGCCTAGAAATACCACAGAGTATTTTCCATGCGACTAATAATATAACGTCCACCCACCTCATGATCCTTCAAGAGACTGTTTTCTATCTTCATTCTACACTTGCAGGTAACCTACAATAAACAGGCTTCGTTAGATTAATAGCCACAGAAGTCAGCAATTTTAGAGGAGAAATTTGTTTCTCACCTGCCCGTGTTCAGACTCAATATGGGTCTTCATTTCAGACTTTGGGATTGATTCGCTGCAGTAGCGGCATACTTCAATATTTCTGCTACAGTGAATTTCATGAATGATGAAATTAACAGCAGGAATATCCTTTTTGCTATGAGAAAGTCACAGAGGTTACTTTGCAGAAAATACACTGACAACAATTTCAAGCAGTTCTTCATAACAAAAAAAAAAAATCCTAAGAAAGCTTTCTATGAATTCATGCTTTAGAGAACTAACTAAAGCGAAAGGCAAGCCCAACCAGGCCTCAATATTCCTTTATAGGTGGAATATTAACGTATATAGCATGCAAAATCCACAATTTTCACACTGCTTTAAGATAAAATCAAGGCAGATTTATTTTTTTATATGAAAGACAAATTTTGAAGTTATCACCAGGTTCAAGTTAATAAACTAATGAACTAATCCAAGAAGGTAAAAGTTTCTTCCTGAAAATAACTTGGCTATCAGAGGTCGAACAGTACTCTGCTTGGAAAAAAATAAGTAACAGACCCTGTTAGGCCAGATCTGTTCTGTGAAGGATAGCAGCAACATATTACTCTGTAGCCAAAACTCCCTAACTCACCTCGTATCTAAGATATTAATTTTTTTATCCTGAGGAGGATGCAAGATTTGCAAACACAAAAGGTCCAAAAAGAACTCGGGCAGTAAGAGCTTAGCCCTTGTTCCTGCCTCAAGCAGTCAGCATCATTTCTAGATGGGTGTACCATTCCTCCCCTCTCCTCCCAAGAAATCAGCCTTCAAAACACGAAAATTTTATAACCTATTGCTTAGTGCCCTCCATGTCATAAAAGGAAAAACACTAAAGCTGTTCAGTTGCCAGATCCCAAACAGCCAACAGCCTGGCAAAGCAACAAAGTCCAACAGCAGTGTCTGAACAGCACAGACTGGCTGCCTCCAAACAAACTAGCCTGATGTTGCAAGATTCTGATGCCTCATTGAGGGGGAAAAAAAAAAAAAAAAAAAAAAAAAAAATGGTTAATTTCTTTAGCTGCTTGTATTCAAGATGGAACTTCTGAAATTACATCATTATCAGTAAATGCATTACCAACACCAGAACATCTTAAGGAAGAGGTCTGATAGCAAAGAGAAACAACTGCCACAACAATATGTGCCCATTGATTCTACTCTTACATCTCTGCTTCTGAGCCACACAGCTGCTAAAGAAAAACTTGCGATCACGTACTTCACGCGTACCTCACTGAAAATCAAGTCTTTATCTCTACTGGAACACTCTGGTTTCTATCTGGTTGCCCGTTAAGTCAGGAAATTGAGTAAAGGCGGAAGAAAATTGTTAAGACGGTAATACTTAACAAAGTAAAACCCAAACATTTCTAAAATGATAGCAGGTTCGTTATTAATTTGCAGCTCCCAGTATTTCACAGCATTTCAGGGAAATATGTTCTGCTTATTTGCCTGCCTGCCCCAAGGCCAGGCACCCACCCAGAGACACTCCGGACAAACATTCGCTTTCATTTCTTACCAGTTGCCACACAGCCGGGTTTCCGCCTCGGGAACTGCAGCTATAGCCATTTCTTTTCTGGTCTGAGGTCTCGAAGAGCGGGCCCCCTACACCCCTTCAGCCCCTCAGCGACGGGGGGTACCCGCGCCCCGCGGGAGAGACGCGCCCGCTCCCTCAGCCGGGGGCGGCGGCGCCTGAGGGGAGCGGCGGGGAGACGACGCTCCCCAGCGCGGGGAGGGCGGTTGAAAGACGGGGAGGAGTGGGGGAGGGGGAAATTAAAAAAAAAAATAAAAAAGAAAAAAAATCAACCCAGCACCGAGAAAGAGAAGCCCTGTCCCCGCTGCCCCGGCTCCTCGGGAGCCCAACGGCCGCCCCGCCCCGCCCCGCGCTCCTTCCCCCCCCGCCCCCGGGCCGGCCGGGCCGGCGGCTGCGCACTGCGGATCTGCGCTCTCATCATGGCGGCGCGGGGCCATGTGCAGGACCCCAACGACCGGCGCCTGCGGCCCATCTACGGTACGGCCCCCCCCCCACCGCGGTCCCCCGCCCCGGCCCCCGCTCCCCCGGCCCGCCCCGCCGCCGCGGGCTCGGCTCAGCCGGCTCGGCGGTGCCTGGGGACGGCGCGGAGGGGCCCGCGGGGCGGCCCGGCCCGGTGAGCGCCGGCTGGCCGGCCCCTCCGCCCGCCCCGACCCCCGCGCCTCCGCCCGCCGTGGGGAAGCTCTCGGCCTCCCGCCTCCCACGGGCGCCGTTGCCGCGGTCAGCCCGCGGAGGGGGGGTATGCGAGGAGCTCCCGCGAAGCCCGTCCCCGGCTCCCCGGGCTGGAAGCGGGAGGTTTGGTTTTTGGATTTGTTTTTGTGGGGTTTTTCTGGGGGGAGGGGAGGGTGTGGGGGGGTGTCTCCCCGCTGGCAGCGGCGTTTTCCGCAGAGCCCCCCCGCCCCAGCTGCCCGGCCGCGGGGTCTCCCCGCCCGGAGCCCCCCACCCGCGTCCCGGAGCAGGCGTGGGGGGCCGGCCAGCCCCTCTCCCCACGGGCGGCCGTGGTCTCCGTGCCGCCGTCTTTCGGGTACGGTCAACTTCGGTCGGCGTTTGTGTTGTGCTGCGGAGAAGTTCGAAATGGATTAATTCATAGAAAGGGCAAGAGCAGTCCCGGAAACTTTTAAAGTTGCGTGTTGAAGTGTTGTGGCACAGACTAATTACGGTGTTAGGAAAATTAATGGGGAGATGAGAGTGAAGTAGTTAGAGGAAGCCTCGTTAAGAAACCTCTTGTATTAAGGCGTCCCCAAATATTTCTAAGAGTATTACGTGCAGTTGGGATTGCTTCAGAGATTGTAGACAAGCGTGTCTCTGTTTATGCAAATACAGAAAAAGAGAAAATAAAAACACTTCCCCAGGCTACGGTATCGTTTCGTCCCTAAAATTGAAGAACAGAGATTTTGGAAAATGTTCTCAGCTTTTTCAACACTAGGGAAAAAAAAACCTTTCCCTACAAACATGTGGAGACCTGCCTTTATTTTGGGGTGAATGTGTTTGGGGAATGTCCTTTGCCACTCGTGTAGGGAGGACGGTGTGGTACAGGCTTGCATCCGTGATGGGCTCCAGTGAAATGGAGGGAGATAGTTTTGTGGGATTAAAAGTGTAAACACACAGCTGTCTTAAAGTTCATTGCGCAGTTATGAGTGCAGCAGTGCAGTTTGTCTTTATGTAATAATTTTGAGTTCTTTCCTTAGTTTTCTGTACATGCTGTGATTGCCATTCTTATTAATATGCAGTTATTTGTGTTATGACCTGTATAACATCTTAAATGTTCTTCAAAGAAAAAGCTTGGTAAATACAACTGCTGTTAAAGCAGATGATGTTGGGATGTATTTTCCTGTATTAATTTCAGAGAGTATAGCTATTAGGGAGAAAGCTTTAAAATAGCTTTCTGTTGGTTCTAGAAAGGGTTATCTGTGGTGTAAGATTTGAATTCAGGCTTTGGTGTTGCAGAACCTGAAATAAAGTGCATGTCCTTAGAGGTGAATACACAGCTTCACAAAAGTCACAAACTGGAGATGTGCAGCATGAGGTCGAAGGTCTGATCCTTGACTTAAACCAGTGCTTTTCAGTGCACACCGTGTGCCTTGGTTACTTGGGGTTCCTTGACAGCTATGTTTATCTTTCATCTTGATTTGTTCTCCCTTCACCTGAAGGTTCACGTGTTGCATTTCCAGCCGCTGAACATCTCCACCTACAGACTTGCAATTAATGCAGGCTTAAGTTTTTTTTCCTTTAGGTTGAATTCCTTTGGAAGTTGCCAGCTACTTTGGCTTCCGACAGACTTACTTGTTGTTAGCAAAATACATTCTTTTTATTCTACTGCAGTTTAGAGACGTTTGTGGTTTATTTGATTTACTTTAGGAGACCTAAAGCGGAGATCTTATCAGCACAGTTGTTAAACAATCCAAGGCAGGCAGTGCAGCGTGGCAGATAATCTCTGTGTAAGTGAACCGTGCAACACAGATTCTTAAATCAAGAAGTCTCTGCTGATGAATGAAGAGAGTTTTGAAACCTTTTCACTGAGAAATCTGTGCCTAAGTTTTAATATTAAAGGTGATGCACGGGTTTTCATAAGTTAAAACAGCCATCTAACCCATGTAAAGGCAATGTATTACAGTTTCAAACTGTATTTTATGCAGCAACATTTTGTTTTGGTTAGCATGGGCAGGCTGCCTCATTTGAGGTTTTGTCTGTATGGTCTCAGGAGTCCAATTAGCTTTACTTCAAATCTGCAGCACTTACTTGGCCATGGAAGCAAATGTTAAAGCTGCCCAATATAAATCTCATTAGTATAGATGCACACTTTGTATCACATACCAGGGAATTACTAAAGGTCACCTCTCTACTCTGTGTAAGAGTTCTCTCTCATAATGAGAGCTGCAGTCTCAAGGAATAAAAGATGTGAAGCATAATTTCAATTAACTGGCATTAACTCTGATCCCAGTTTGGTGGGGGAGAGGCCAGAACAGTGGGAGCAGAGACCCTTCCCTCTTGGCATGTCAGGTGCAGCTAAACTTTTCTTCTAGGTGTTGGTTAGTAAGTATTAATGTTTGAGGGAGGAGAAGCATAGAGGGGTCATGGTCTAATTTAAAATTACTTGTTCGTAATTGTCTCATGATGATGCACAGTAGGTGAAGCTGAAAACTATTACTGAGCTGAAAATAGGAGAACAGGGTCTAGAGACAGGGGTTTTCTACAGCTGAAGTTTTACTAGATAGTGGGATATCCCCCTGGGAAATAGTTTTGTCTTTAAAACTAGTCTGGTGAAAGCATAGTGATACTCTGTTAGGGGACAGATTTGCTCTGCCTGAAGTATGGATCGTGTGGACAAGCAGGTCTTCTCACTTAATGCTTTGATAGATTGTGAGGGCTTAGTTTCTTACCTACTGCCTGTTAAAAGTCATTGAAAGTCTCCCAAAGGCACAGCAAATTAATTTCTACTTTTACTGAAGCAAAGAGCCTAAGCTCCATTGCTAGCAAAGAGCTGTTGCTGCAGAACCTGCTCTATTATGTCTCTTTTGTTGCTCTAATGATCTATGTGGAGTAATTACAAAAGCTTGTTTGTTTGAATGAGTAAAACTAGTACAGCGAGATGAATACTTCATCTACAAAATGACATGTTTCCTGAACGTTTGGCTTAGTAGTAATTGTACAAGGAAAATGTGGTTTGCACTACTGGCCTAATGGCACATACTCCACAGTAAAATTAGACATAGCTTTCCAGAATGGTCTTGTGTTCTGTTATAATTCTATATATGTTCTTCTTATGCAGATTATCTTGATAATGGCAATAATAAAATGGCAATCCAGCAGGCGGATAAACTGCTCAAAAAACACAAGGATCTTCACTGTGCAAAGGTAAGTGTGATTCTGGTGTACTGGCCTCGTTTGGTGGGCATAGCTCCAGGGCTTGGAGTATTTTGCTGTGCATTTCCAGCAGTGTCCCTGGTCTTCCAGAGACCATGGTGTTTTCTGAACTCTCTGGAACATCCCAAGTTGTTCAAATTCATGCAATATTGTGTTTGCCTGAGAACTTGCACAGGTCCTCTTGGTCAGGTGTGTCTAACGACTAGAGTGTAATTGGTTACACCTGAGCAAATTACCTCCCTGACAGAGCCGCTGCAAGCAACCTTGGAAGATGGGCTGGACCTTAAAAATGCCTCTCTTAGACCTTAGGTTGAGGTACCTATCCAGAGTGGTTTGGACCAAAATGTTTCCTTGAGAGGTGTAGTCCTTAGTAAAGCATAACAAGGTGGTTTTGGCGGCATTTGCTTTTCTGCCTCTCGTTTGCTGCCTTCCTTGCCATGCCCCTGTTGAAGCGAAAGGAGTTCTGTTCCTCAGTTTTCTGAACATGTGACTATCTTTCTACTTTTCTCTTTTCCCTGTGGGTTTTTCTACAGTTCGTACTGCTGCATTTTGAAAGCTTCCCAAGCCGAAGCGAGTGTCGTTGACCCGCATCTCATTTATGTCACTCCTCTCTGGCCAGTTATTGAAAGAAAAGAAACTAAAATTGGCAGGACTGGTTAGTCTGCAGGTAGGGAAAACTGAGTGGCAGCTGATGCCTCGGAGCAGCCTGCACATTTAAGAAAGCAAAGCCACACTATTTGATGCAGCTTGCATTTGGAAGTTTTCCTCCACAGCCATATGGATTAGAGGCTTAATAAAACCTGAACTTCTGTAGAAGTAATGAGGTGGTTGGGCAAAGCCTCTCCTCACCAGGAATGAGAGGATTTTCACTGGTAACTGCCAACTGTGTTTCTAACAGCTGCCTCTCTGTTGTGTCAATAGGTTCTAAAGGCAATTGGCTTACAGAGAACTGGCAAGCAAGATGAAGCGTATGCTCTGGCACAAGAAGTAGCAGCACTTGAACCCACAGATGATAATTCCTTGCAAGCACTAACTATTCTTTACCGGGAAATGCATAGACGTAAGCTTTTTCCTTTGCCTCTCTTAAAAATCACAATTATTAACCTTATACCAGAATTTTGTGACCCACAGTTTCATGGAAAAAAATGCAAAGTCCAGGGTTTGTGTACAGGTGCCCTAAGAGAGTCAGAGAATTTAAATTATGCCTGTTATAAATGCCTCCAAGGCTCTAGTGATCACCATAAAGCAAAGAATCTTGTTTGGGCTTCTCTCATTAACATAATATATTGTCTACACAGTTCCTAAATGAATGGCGTGCTAAATAATCATCCCTCACGATTAAACCTATGAGCTCACTTTTTTTTTTTTTTTTTTTTAATTAAAGCTACTGGAATTTGTTGTCAGTATATGTGGTAGAGATGACAAATCACATGGTCTGTGGTTTGGAGTGTGCTTAACGCTGCGAGACTGTAGTCAGGGGGTTCACGCCTCAAGAAGCTGTGTGACAAACAGAAGGGAAATCCTGTCCTCTCAATGTGACAGAGTTAGCTTCTTTTTAGTACAGTTCCTTGTAGTGATACAGTATTTTAAAATACTAAATCATTAATATTTGAATGATGGAATAAAATTTCACGTACTTTTCTGAAAGAAGCCAGACCTTATATACTGCTTATCTACAGCTCGACACAGTTGTTTTTTCTGGCAGTTTTTTGTGGTTCTTGGTGCTGGTAGCAATATTTATTGTTGAATTGCTGGAGCAATGGCAATGCGGTGAAAAAACTTTTGTAGAAATAGATATTCAGTATCAGTCTGCAATATAGCAATTGCTTATGATCTCCTAGTTTTCCTTTCTACATGTCTGTGTATATGTACATGTGGAGTTAAAGCATCATTTCTTGATTGACAAAATTTTTGTGTGTATGTGTGGCTTCAACATAAACTCCTGAAAATGTCAGAAGCCTTTCTGTGATTGTGAACAACTTGCATAAGCATTAAGCTCAGATTCCTAACTTTTAGGTTTATAACTCGGAAAGGAAATAGTGGGTGTTGGGCATTTCCACTTTTAGTCCTGCAAGAAAATTGTAATTAGATGGTTTATGTATGTGTTGAGAATATGTAAACTATGTGAAAGACAAATTACATTTAGCTTTCTAATACTACACTGAGATATGGTTGTATGTGCAAGGAAGAAAAATCTGGAAGGATAAAAATGTAAGGTTTTGCATATTATAAGTATTTAGTCATTATAGACCTATCATTAAAAAGTACAGTGTGAAGTATTTTACTTGTTAAGAGTACTAAATTAGACAATTGGGAAATGACAGGATATGACTAAGATAAATAACCCTGGGATAAGAGTAAGTGTTCTGTATTTTGATACATCGTTCATGTGGAGCGGTCATTCTGCCGGCAGCAGAAATCTTCATTCAGTTTAGGGCTCCAAAATAGATCAACTTTCATAAGAAAAAGACTTAACTGAACTGAGTTGTTCAGTTGTTGCTATTAACTCTATTTTGAGGTTTGTTTGTTTGGGTTTTTTTAAGCACTTTCCCCCTTTGACTAATGTTTGTAGTGCTTGGGGTCTTGGGGGGAGGGAACACCATTTCTGTGGTTGATGAGTGAAATCAGATTACTGTTCAGAGTATTGCTGATGCTATCTTGAGGTAGCTGTGCTTTAAAATTATTCCCAAATTTGTCTTAACTCAAGCATCTGGTTTTGGTTTAGCGGAACTGGTAACTAAACTTTATGAGGCAGCTGTAAAGAAGGTTCCCAACAGTGAAGAGTATCACTCTCATCTCTTCATGGCCTATGCCAGGGTCGGAGAATACAAGAAGATGCAACAGGTACAATTAACAATTTGTGTCCTGGTCATCTTAAGGTGTCTTTTTCTATATATCTTTCTGTTAATGCCTTTTCGTATTACATGTAATCTTCCTGAATGCTCAGATGGGTTAATGCAGAAGTTATACTCTATGTTAGTTTTTACAGAAAGGCCTAAAAGATCATTATTTAGGAGGTGGGTTATCTGAAGACATTCTTTCTTTTCCTTTGGACAAATGTATCTGTTGTGTGCCTATCCGGTCTGATAGAATATGTTGGTTATTTTGGGAGGTTTTTGTCAATCTGTCTGGAACAGTATGGTGGTTATATACGCGGAGGTGTATTATACAGGAATTGTGGGATAGATAGAGATCTAGCAAGCTCTTCTGATCTGTGTTTAGAAACTTGCTTTACTCCTTAATTTGTTGTTGTCTTGGAAGAAAAAAGTAATCGTGCTTATGCTCTTATGTCTGGAATCTAACATATGACTAGGTTTGTATTGGTTGCTTTTTAGTTTTTCTTCACTTAATTACACTTCCTTTAAGTACATCATCTCAGTCGGCAGAACAGTGTCATGCTGGTTAGTTTTGTTTTCATCCCTTCCAAATTAGGTGCCTGGAGAATGCCTATAAATGGAAGATTCTTTTCAAAGCATGCGCGCTCGCTCTTCTGTATAAAAAAGCACAGACAGCCAAGTAAATGAGTCCTAAACTCCCTCTCATTCCCACTGTGTTAAGGTGACTTGAATTTTTGTGCGAGTTTGGTTTTGCTATCTAAAAGAATATATTGAGCAGAAGAATATATTGTGTGCTGTTTGAGTTCAAGCTGTAGATAGGGATTAATTTATTAACATATATGAAATTACAAGCCGCATATGACAATCTAAACTTCAGAAAGGTGACTGTGTGTTAATTGTACTCCTGTCTACTACCACAAGTGGAAAAGATCCCAGTCTTACACAGACAAGAATATTTAACTTTTATGTGACCATCTGTATGCTTAAAATGTCATACAAACATGTATCTAGTTAAGTTATCCAGACGTGGTCAGAGAGTAGGGTGTTTGATTGGCCTGTGCATTCTACCTAAGGACTTGGACATGCAAAGATTGCATGGGTGGTGACTGATTGGAGAGTGACAAAATAAACCCCAGCGTCCTGTGTTCTGGGATATTTCAGCTGAAAGTAACAGAAAATGCAAACTGAAACTGCAGTCAGAAAATTGGCCCAAAAGTCCATCTGTGGTGGGAGACTGTATTGTAGTTTCTTAAAGATTTTGTATGGTTAGATGTGTTATCCTTCATTACATACAGGCACTGGAAATCTGTGAGAGAATTGTGTGAATAACTGTTTGTGTTAGGCTAGAAAATCTGGAATACTTTGGCTCTGCTTTGATACAGGCAAGCTTTCAGCTCGACCTTTGCTTAACCACTGCTTTGCACGTATAGGTGACCTCATGTTTCAGGTATCTGAGTGTGTATGTATGAAATGAGTGTTGAAGGGCAGTTGCTTACATGAGGGAGGCATGTGCTTTGGTGTGCCTTTTAGCGCGAAGCATGCTAGTGAAAATCAGCACTGGAAATATCCCACTGGCTCCCAAAGAAAAAGTCTTCTGCTTCCTGGTGTAGTTGCCACTTCTAATTAAAACTGTCATCTGTTTAGGTAATTGTACATGCGCCTGCTCATTGCTGTTTCTTGTCAGTCTTACGCAAAGTACTTGATCTTTGCACATTTTCACGTTTTCCTCTTTAGCAACGTGTGTTAGGATGGAAGGGCTCAAGGGTTGATAAAAGTCTTCCCATCTAGTTGCTAATTCTGTGTTGTCATCTGCTGTTGTTGCTGCTTAGCTTGTGTTGTCTGTCATGAGAGCTTACAAACAGATATGTGTCAGGAATGATGAAACTTTGTCTTATATTTTTCAGGCTGGAATGGCACTTTATAAGATTGTACCCAAAAATCCTTACTATTTTTGGTCTGTGATGAGCCTGATTATGCAGGTGTGTACGGTGTTGCAAATGAGTTTGACTTTCTCTGCAGATATAATGCAAATATTAGAGATTATTTTAAGTAAAATGTATGTTTGAACTGTTTCTGTATGATGCTGGGAGAAGGACTGAGCCTTCCTTAAGTAGCACTATTGATGTGGTCCAGAATGAATGCTGTAGTGTTTTTGTAATGCAGCTTAACTGGTCTGCCTTACCATGTTTAGACAGCTTGAGTTATTCTCTCATCTGGACTAGTAGCCTACTGTCTTTTTAGTTAAAAAGCTAATGAATAAAACCTCAAATATCTGCAGCTCCTTAGGCGGAACTGTTTTTCTCTAACTAGGTTATAAAGGCTCTAGGAGGAAGTAAATGAGAGCTCTGGACTTACCATGTCTTTAAGACTGCAAAAAGTCTGCAGGAATAGACAGCAGATCAGCTGTGCTGCTGTTGAGATCGCAGATTCAGGCTCTAATCAGACAATCTGACAGAGTGTTAGCCAAACAAGAAATAAGCAAGGAGGCATTAATCATGTTTTCTAAAACACTGTGCCATGGCAAACACAAATGTGTTCTTGCTGCATGTTATTTGCCATGGGTATTGTGTGCCTAGATGCACGAGCTTCTGGACAATGTAATCAAGAGTGAGCTTCTGGACAATGTAATCAAGAGTGAGCTTCTCTGTGTATGACTAGTTTTCTTGCTGCCTTTTAACAGGGCATATGGCAGCTCTGTGGTTTTGGATGGGGGGGATTGAAGCACCTGAGGTATTTTTTTCTTCCTCTTCTAATGTGAAGAAAAGCAGTGGGTGGGATAACACAAAAAGTTGATGAGCTGTTACAATAATTCTTCTCTTCCTCAGTCTATTTCAGCACAGGATGAAAACCTCTCAAAGACGATGTTCTTGCCGCTAGCGGAAAGAATGGTGGAAAAAATGGTGAAAGAGGATAAGATTGAAGCTGAGGCTGAAGTAAGGCTTGCAGATACTTTCAGCTTGATTTGATCATTATTCAGACAAGGAATGCACTGTGAAAGGAAGTTAATTATTTTAACAGTTTTCCGAGATAATATTGAGTAGTGTTCTGGAAGTAAATGTGAATGTAGGTGGGACAGAAGGAAAACCAAAAGCAGAGGGCTGAGGGGGGTTTGGAATCGTGTGGCCAAGGAAATTTTTTGGCATTTGATTTGACTGATGAAGTACTTGGTTTTGCTCCCTGGGAGGCCCCAAGAGAAACTTCAGGGCTGAGAATGGAAAAAAGACCTAAATTCCTGAATGCTCTACCCTCTGGGATGCTAAAGATAGCTTTGCAGGCCTGGCTATCTCCTATTTCTAATGACAGTAACACAAGCCACTTTATTTCTTGGCACACCTGTGTATTGTTTTACTAGCAAATTTCATTGCAGTCTGATCTTTCTTTTAAGGTCGAACTGTACTACATGATTCTGGAACGTTTGGAGAAGTATAAGGAAGCCTTAGATGTTGTGAGAGGAAAACTAGGAGGTAACTTACTCTGTCAATAATCACAGTTGTGTGGAGAACACAGCAGTTCTCCTTTTCTTCTGACTTGTCCATTGGTTCCAAAAAAAAGACTAAGAAGCCTGACTCTTACAACCAGTTTCAAACATTGGTGCAAGCTGCGGCGGTGCTCTTGTGCAAGCTGTTTTTACCCACCTGTTTATGATATTTCACCGTTACTCAGTGATGCACTTTGCAGCAGTATGCTTAGCAGTAGTAAATCAACAGCACATTAGTTTGTTGTAGCTGCCATCTTAAAAAAAATACATTTCTTAATATCCTGCATTTTTGAGGAGTCTTTCTGGCAATTAAAATGCACTTGCAGTTTTAAGGAATTGGGATATCTATAGGAAATCTGTCCTTTGAGGGCCTCTCTTCTCTTCTCTTACACTTACTGTTTTGCATCCTGGGCTATAATCAGCTTTATGCAGAAAGTGAAGAAGGAAATGCATTGATTAAATAAACTTGCCCTTCTGTTTTTATTTAGAGAAGCTGACAAGTGAGCTCCAAAGCCGTGAGAACAAGTGTATGGCAATGTACAAGAAGCTGTGTAGGTGGCCAGAGTGCAATGCGCTGTCAAGAAGGCTGCTGCTGAAAAAGTGAGATTATATTTCTGCAGTCCTACTGAAAAACTGAAGAAAAATTCCTGGCTGGTTGTGAATTGCCTTGTTTAGTGGCTTTTATAAATGGTGGTTAAAATACAAGAACATCAGAAGATCTCAGAGTATTTCCAAACTCCACACTTCAGCACTCCAGAGCCTGAGGAAAAGGGCAGCAGAATGGAATGTGCAAGGGACATGGTGAAGGTCACAGGGAGAGTCAGTGTCAGGACCGCATTTGCTTCTTTTCAAAGGCTGACTTTAGCAACACATTAGTACAATAAAATGTTGTTTACCTCCTTATTTCTAAAGGCTGTGCTGATTGTCCATCTCTAACTGTCATGGTAGGAGAGGAGGAGAACTGCATTTACATTTAATTTTCTGAAACTTCATTTCTCTTACTTGGCCAGATTTCATACTGGGAAATGCATGTAATGCTTTGAACGAATGCCTCAGAAGAGAGCATACTCATGCGATCAAATCTGTCTCTTGGAACTGTCAAGAGATTTGTTGTTTGCTTTTTTTGTATTTAGCTGCACCCTAATCTTAAATATAAGTTAAATACAGAGGAGAAACTTCCGCTTTAACATTTTGTGGGAATATTAATGAGCTCTGATTGGAATGTAAATGTTAAGAGAATAATTTGTAGCTTGCCTCAATTCTTTATTGAAATTGTTTCCTTTAAAATATTTCAAGAAATTCAGGATGATGACATTCTTTAAGATGTGAGAACTTTTCAAGGCGAAATTATTCTTATTACAGTGGGTTTTTTCTGTAATGTGAATATGTGCTATTCCTTAAATTCATTTTTTGTAAGGCAGTTTCAGAAGTGAGTTACTGTTTTGGCAATTCCCTAAACTTTGTTCTGTGCCTGATTTTTGTTTCAGCTCAGATGATTGGCAGTTTTATATAACTTACTTTGATTCAGTGTTTCAACTCATTGATGAATCCTGGACACCTCCACCAGAAGAAGAGCAGTAAGTTAACAGTTTTGCAGTGGATTTGTTTTTCCTTTGTGCTGTGGCAAACTGTTTGCATTCATATATTCCATACAGCACTGTCTGCATCTTTGGGTGATTTCTTGACATCAGAGCCCAAACGATGTGTTCTCCCTACTTTGTTTTGGAGGCTGGCAATAGATTATTTGAAACAGCTGTATAAATAGTGGCTTGTATGCTATAGAACTCTTCCAGTTTATATTTTTCATGGTAATTGGGTTAAAGAATCCATTATGTCAGATTTCCTTAAGAGTATCCTGGGAGTACTCTGAGCTTGTGTTATCAATGCCCTTGCAAGGGGAAAAATCAAAGAACCTTTTGTCTCTTTAATTGTGCAGCTCTTTGGAAGGAGAGGTACACTATTCTATAGAGCAAGCTGTGAAATTTATAGAAGAGAGGATAACAGAAGAATCTAAGAGCTCTCGGCCACTTCGGGGACCATATTTAGCTAAACTGGAGCTGATTAGACGTTTGCGATACAGAGGTTGTAATGATGAATATAAACTAGGTAAGAGCCACTAACTGGATGATGAATTAATCTTTTGGAGAGAGAACACAAACCTGGAACGAGCTCTTTGCTAAATGACTGAGTTAATTACAATGCCTGTTACAAACATCTATGTGCTGTTGTCTATATGTAAAAAATTTGGAAAGCATTAGTAGATGAGTCTTGAAGAAAGGCAGGTAGTTCCAGACTACTTCTTACTATGCTGTAATCTCTGGGTGGTTTTTCATTTCAGTTTTTTGGCGGTAGTGCCAGATTTTGCTTTTTGAAAACTTGCATTTTAAAATCGCGTTTAGGGAATCGGTGAAGGCCAGAATGTTATTGGAGCAACATATGTGCTACTTACTAGTTCCTTTTGTATTGCCATCCAAAAATAAGTTACTGTTAGGTAAGCGGAGGCTGTGTATGTGTCATGGTTTAACCCCAGCCAGCAACTAAGCATCACATAGCTGCTTGCTCACTCCTCCCCTGTCCCAGTGGAATGGGGAGGAGAATCAAGGGTAAAAAAATTTGTGGGTTGAAATAAGAACAGGTCAATAGCCAAAATAAAATATAATAATAACATCAGTAATAAAATACAATAATAATTATAAAGAAAGGGACAGTAACAAAAAGAGAAATAAAACCTGAGAAAAGACAAGTGATGCACAATGCAGTTGCTCACCACCTGCTCACCAATGCCCAAGCAGCAATCCACCCTCCAGGCAACTCCCCCCAGTTTATATACTGGGCATGAAGTCCCATGGTATGAAATAGCCCTTTGGCTTGGTGGGGTCAGCTGTCCTGGCCATGCTCTCTCCCAGCTTCTTGTACACCTGCTTGCTGCTGAGCATGGGAAACGAAAAATCCTTAACTTGGGATAAGTGCCCTTTGGCAACAGCTAAAACATCAGTGTGTTATCAACGTTATTCTCACACTAAATCCAAAACACAGCACCCTACCAGCTACTAGGAAGAAAATTTAACTCCATCCCAGACAAAACCAGAACAGTATGCATGCCTGTTATGCTGAGCTCTTATCTGTCAGAGTAGCTTGAATGAAGCTCTTGGGTTTTTTTTAATGTGTCCTTGGTTACGAAAGACATTGAGCCTCTGTTAAAATCTGCAGTAGCGCAGCTATCCGTTTTCTAAATAGCTATGTAATCTCGAAGCGGGGGGGGTGGGCGGGGAAAAGCAGCATTACCAAAGATTTCTCATTAAAGATTCAACTTTTGATGGAGCGTATTAAAAGATGAACTGGCCTTTTTCCTAGGTGATCCAGAAGAACTAATGTTCCAATACTTCAAAAAATTTGGGGACAAACCCTGCTGTTTTACTGATCTCAAAGTATTTGTTGATCTCCTCCCACCCAGCCAATACACAAAGGTAAGGAAAGATAAAGAAGTGGTGGCAGGAACTGCAGTGCGTGTTTGCACTCTGATGCCTTTATCTTAAAATACCTGTGGATCATATGAAAAGATTGGAAATATCAAATTTTTACCTTCTGTTTGGAATTCAGAAAACCCTCTGCACTGTAGAAAATACAACAAATATCTGGATACACTGAGCAATTTCATTCAGAGGATTTTTATTTGAGACTAAAAACTAAGTTTGGTCCTGCAGAATCTCAAACCCAGATTAGTATTCATTTGGCTTTTTTATTACCATCTCAGGGTGTCAGGATACTTTGAGAGGGTCTTTGTTGAATTCTTGTATTGAAAATGAAAAGCTCGTAATGCTGATGGAAGTGTCAAGATACGAGCTCATAATGAAAAGCTCCCTAGGAATTGTAGTTCAATTGAGAAGGTACCTGATTAGCTCACTTTTAAATGAGTAATCTCTCACCGCTTTTGTTTATAGATTACAGCTTACAAAATGCAGTATTAGAACACTACAGAAAGACCACCCTGTTCATTTGCAGTTCTCACTGCTGTATACTGTAACTTTTGTTTTACAAAGACATTCTCCTCTTTCCCTTCCCACCCATCGCTTGTTTTTCCCATTAAAGTTACATGTTTAATGGGGGAAAAAGCCTTCTCCCTCATCCGATGCAGGGAGGGCGTTGCATAGATGTTTTGCTTGGCTCTGCTGCGATGCTAAAGAATTACACATTGCTACTGATCAAGGGGTGACCGAGAGACCTATGGCCACTTTTCCAGAATGTCTTTCTGAAACAAGCTCTCTCTAACTGAAAAGAGTATTTGTGCAGAGTCATGAGCAGCTCGTTAAATGACTTCAGCAGCTGGGAATCCTGTCACTCACCCCATTGTTTTTCTAAGCCATTGTGTAAAATTATCAGAGCAAGGGAGAGCTAGACAGAGAATCCTAGATCAGCCAAAGGCTGTTGATAAAATGTTTGTAAACAAAGTAGAGGTAGTGTTGTTAAAATATTTTTCAACTGCTAATGCAAGCTCTTCCCACAGCCCCACTACTAATGAGAATGGTGGCCCTGGCATGTATGGGTTGGTGCTGATGTTTTATGTTAAAAGGTGTGGGTTAACCCCACTGGCAAGAGGTGATACCATTGCAAGGTAACCCTGAAGTACTGAACAGGTTTAATCCTAACTTTCCAGGAAGCAAATTCTAAACCCAGAACAGGGGGAATGATATTTAATAATAATAGTTTAGGCTACACTTTTGTGGCAGTGCTTTATAAAGCCATGACTTTGAATAAATTCTCTAAAATTTTGTGATGGGCCTTAAAACTGCTGCTGATTCAGTGAATATATCATATTGTATTATACTGACATATTAGAAGGTCTTCCCAGCGTATGGCTGTCTTCTGGCTGGCATCTCTGAAGCATGCAACTGCAGCAGTTTTAAGTCGGTCAAGGAGACGTGTAGCTGAGGAGGTTTAGTGGTGCTGAAATGCTGATGACTTTTTGAAATCTGAGAATTTAAGTTACTTAAAATATTTATAGATTGTCTTAGATTTATTCTTGTTTCACAGCAAAAGATGCTGAAGGTGGTTGTATCTGAGGTAAAGTAGCAGGGTCACACTGAGGCTATGTACAGCTGAGGGGGGGGAGGAGTCTTTTCTTTTTCTCTCTTTTTTAAAAAAAAAAAAAAAAAAGAGTTCTGAATAGCTTTAAAGTTCAGTAGCTGAGAAATTGGTGATCTTGCTGTCCCACTAGACACACGGGATATTCCAAAAATAATCGTCATGACATCGATTTTGACTTTCTAGAGGTGTAAATCGGAGTATGCAGCCTAGTGATTTCATTGACCTCGCTCAACTTGGCAAAATCTCAAACTGCAAAGATTTGTCAGCACAGTCTTCATCAAAGTCTATGGGAAAACTGGAATTTGTGTGCGTGGTGCTATGTGTTACTCCTGTCTGTCATGCTTTTTTCCTCAAGGCATGCATTTGATGCAGCTCTTGCATTTCAAGACCAAGTGTAGTAAAGCTGAATTAATTGGCTTTTAGCTCAGTTTTAAGTTTGTAAACACTGTTGGATTTTAGGGCAGCAAGGATCTGCTGTCCAGCCCTGACTGTGTGTTGTGAGAAGTCTGCTGTCTCTCATTAAAATTGTAAACAGTGAGGCTGCTTTTCATACAACTTAATTCAACAAATAAGTCATTAATCGAAGATGATGACCTCACTGAGCACAGCGCATTACTTCAGAGTTGAGAGAAAAATGTAATAGCTAGTACAAAACCACTATCTCCTGGAAGTGCACTGTGAAGCCTTTCAGTAACTAATTATTTTAATTGCATATGTTACTACTGTGAGTGTTAACAGGTACTTGAACTCCCTTGTGTGTCAACATATTGGAAGTCTGCATCTGATATCTATTTTTTTCCATCTGTTTGGAACTTACTAAAAGCTATTGAGTGCAACCAGAACTGTGTGCTCACCACCTTTCCAAAAAATAAAAAATTTTGAAGCCAGCTCTTTAAGCACTGATTTCAGTGTTATATCAGGGTTGATGCTGACATTCCCATCTTGCTTTTCTTTTTTCTTGATTTGAGGGAGGAAATGATGGCTTCGCTTTGTGCAGTCCCAGATGCCCTGCAAAATTTAAGAATGGTGTTTCTCTTTCAGTTCATCAGTCAATTGCTGGAAGTAATCCCTCTGTCAGCAACAGCAGAGAGTGACATCGCACTGCCAGCCGATATCAAAGCTCTGCAACAACATTTGTGTGTGGTGCAGCTCTCAAGATTGCTCGGTATCTATCACGCCATGGATAAGAAGCAAAAGCTGACTGTGGTCCAGGAGTTGATGTTAAGATACCGTCATGGATTGGAGTTTGGTGAGGAAAACCTTGAAATGAATGTTGCAGTTCACTTGCAGCTTTTTAAGAGGGGGCAGAACAAAACAAACTCTGGCAAATATCAGTATCGGTGCACAGCACCCATTGTGCTGCTAGATAATACTACTGTTTTCTCCTTTATGATGACATCCTTGGGCAAACCCGAATCATCCGTTTCATTTCAGTTTTGTTTCTTTTCAACTGAGTATTTTAAAGATAAGTGAGACATTCCTGGGTAGTTCAGGCAGTACATTTATCTGTTTGCAAAATTGCTTGTGCCTTTAAGCAAAGCCAGGCTTTATCACTGTGTATATAGAACAAATACAGGGGCAATAATGTTGATTTGTAAATCTTGCAGTTGTAGGAGAGTCTGTTCTTCTTCAGCAGATATCAGTGTATGAGGTGGCCCAAAGTCCACTTGTGTGATGAGTAAATGCAGCATGTGTACAGTTGTTTCAGTTTTTAAGACAACTCTGGATTTTATAAATTAAGCTGTGGTTATCATCTGCCAGATAGCAGTGTCATTTGATAATGCTGACAGTGTGAGAAGCAACAGACAGCACTGTTAGTAATTCAGGGGTAACCTTTTTTTTTTTTTCTGTTTAGGGAAATCTTGTTTGAAAACTGAATTGCAGTTTTCAGATTATTACTGCCTGCTTGCAGTTCACCTGCTGCTTGATTTGTGGCTAGAAGGTATGTTCCTAAAATTGTGTCTTGCTTTTAATACCACCCTGGATGGTTGTGATAAGGAGACCGTGTCCCTGTGACCTGTGGCATGGCTTGTTAGGCTCATAGCTTTCTGGGTTTTTTCTCAATATAAGGTATTTCAGGAAGCCCCTCTGCTCAGTTGGTGTTTGATCTGAGTCTCACTGACCTCTAAAGGGATTTAATTTTTCTGATTAATCCTTGTAAGTCCTGGCAGAGCTTTGTTGATGACTCACAGCTCAGTGCTGTCTGTCTTCAGAAGCTTGCTCCAAGTTTCCCATGTAGGTAATGTTTTCTCTCCTTTTGCACGAGTTTTGCTGACAACTCCTTTCTGGTATCAGAAGTGCTTTGAGAGCATTTTTTTCCCTCCCTGACATACTTTTTCTTTTGGATCCCTTGCTTCTAAACCTTCTGCTGAGACCTGTCCCCCTATCTTGAGTATTCCTGTATGCCACATCTGCTCTGCCTGTGAATCTCCTAATCCTACAGTGTCAGTATCCAGTGGTGGCTGTCCATAGGCAGTGTTTCTATTCCTGCCCTTCAGTGTAGCTGTCAGTTATGCCTTTGTCTTTCCCAAGGAAAATTTAGTCTTTAACTTGAATAAATCCATCGTCAGGTTCCTGGCTGGTCACCGGAGGAGCGTGGGCTCTTAAATTCCTGGCTCTGTGCTGCTCTTTTGCATAATGCTTGGGAGCGCTCTGTACATAGAAGCTAGAAATCCTGAACAGTCCAGGACTCATCGGGGAAGGTCACTTCTGCAGTGTGCTCGTGTGTGAGGGCTGTGCTCTGTGCAGATGTGAGCTAGATATTCCATGTGAAGAATTATGCCTCCACTTTTCCCTCAGAACAGTTATAATGCTGGGGTGGGTGTTAACGTTTTAAGGTCAGCGGCGTGGCTGATGAATGTCATCTGCATGTTTAAATGCATGGGTCCCTTTTGAGAGGTGCAACGTAAGAAGACTTCAGTGCCAAAGTGAACTATGCTGTCAGCATCCAGTGCCTCTCTCTGACTACACCTGTCTGTGTGTTTTGTCTTTGTCACCAGGTGAAGAGACGGCTGTGTGGCAGTGCCTAACTCTCTTAGAAGAAGGATTATCTCATAGTCCTTCTAATGCTCAGTTTAAATTGCTGCTCATTCGAATCTACTGCAGGCTTGGTGCATTTGAACCTGTTGCAGAGCTCTATTCCAGCCTTGATGCAAAACACATACAGCACGACACCATCGGGTGGGTAGTATATACTGAGAATAATTGGTGATGGTGACCCTCCAGTACCCAGTCCCAAGATCTTCAGTTTCTTTGGCTACTGGAAATTAGCAGATGATCAGATTTTCATATGGTGTTGTGTAAAAGCATTTTGGAATTTTGAGACGCATCTACTGTAGTATGGTCACCTTCTTGTGGAATCTTTCCTGTGTGATTCTGATCTGTTTTGTGTTTTCAGAGTATTAACTAGGGGAAATCTGAAAGCAGCTTGTGAAATGTATATCTTGATGGCAGTCGTAGCTTGATTTTCCAGCTTGTGTTATTGCTCAGCAAAGCTTGTAAAGCAAACACACCAAATTGCTTTGCCTTAGTGTGTTTGTGGGTATCTAGGTAAAGTTCTTGCACAATGGACAAGGTGGACAGAGGAACTCTGAGCCTCCACATACTGTGTTTAAATAAGAATTCTTTCCATTACTTCTAAAAGCCTAAATTTTAGTATGAATGTTGTGAATGCCCTCTGTTAATCCTCCAGTCTTTTAAAGCTGGGCTGTGCTGCAGTTCCCTGTTGAGAGCTGTGTTTGTAATTCAGGTTTCCTCGGGTTGTGTGCTGATATTTGACTTGTGCTGTGTTGTGTTGCAGCTATCTTCTGACGCGCTATGCAGAGTCACTGGGCCATTACGCTGCTGCATCCCAATCCTGCAATTTTGCACTCAGGTTTTTCCACTCCAACCAGAAAGATGTAAGTTGAAAGAAACCTCTGTGTCTGTGTAACAGAGCAGTATGACAAGATGCCTCACAGAAGTCTGTGCCCTGTGTGTGGGCTTACAGAAATGTAGTGGTTGATAATACGATGACTACATGATAACAAAGAGGAATAATACATGTTTGTAGTAAAAGTTGCCTCGACCTGTGTTTCTCATTACAAGAATTTGTAACTTACTGTTATATGGGGTTTTGCTTTAGCTTTCTAGATATAAAAGCCAGTTCTAATGCTGCTCAGAAAACGGGTATGATTACTTCTAAATTAATGAATTGTGATTTTTTTATGCAATAATTTAAGTGAAATGTCATGTGGCAAATAAGTCCTGGTGTCATTTAACTTCTAGCATTTTGGAAGGTCATACAGTAGCCAGGGATGGTGGGTCAAGGTGGCAGTGTCATACTTATGAATCCTTTATATGACAGTCACCGAAGCAGCATGTTTTAGTGATGTCTGTCGTGGGCACACAGGGATGGTGAGGAATGCACATCATTTTAAAAGGTAGGTAAGGCAGAAGGAACAAGGTGGGAGGATTTCAGAAGGGAAAAACTGAGTCTTGAAGTCTCAGCTTTGCTGAAGGCGGAGCAGAGCCCATGATGAACTGAGTTATTTTGAAATGATAGGGATCGAACTGCAAAACCTGGTCCTGTGCTAATGAGAACTACCTGTTTCATTCAGTTCACCCCTAAAAGCAATGTGAATGAAAAGGTGTCTTGAATGAGAGTCTTGGGGCTGGAATGGAGGAGATGGTGAGAGGGAAGCTGAATTCCTCCAGAGATCAGGTGCTTCCTAAAATGCACACCATACCCTAGGCATCTAGCATGCTTGTAGCTTGCTGATTAGTAACTGTACTTGTTGATAATCTTACTTGAAAAGTACACTCTGCTGTATATTCTGATACATTCATAGGGAAAATATAAATTCCATTTCAGAATTCTCATGGAATCCATGAAAAATGGGCTAGGTAGGAGAACAATGGAACAATACATTTTTGAAGTCTTGGAGAAAATATATCGGGCAAATAGGAACAGAAATAGTCCAGAATTGTGGCAGGAAAGTGTATGCATGTCAGTCTGTCTCCCTAAAACTTGCAAGGCAGTCCAATTCTGAGAAGTGGGAATACATCCTCTATATTTATATTTTACAGTTGGATCATTGTTGAGAGGTAGGTGAAGGAAAATTATTTTTACTTTACTTCATAAGACATAAAGGTGCAGTCCAGTCATAACTCTTTCAGTCAGCTGCTGGCTGTTGGCTCCAAAGGCTCTGCAGTCCTACAGTGTGCCTTCCCACTAGCCCAGCAATAGATAAAACCACAGGAATTGTCTGTACTGAATAGTGAAGCTGCTAAAGATGTTCACACAGTAATCCCTCAGAAAAAGTACACTTGCTCTGTTGGCATCCCAGGTTGTTCCTGTGTATGAGAAACCAGTTGTCATTTACCTGTGCCTGGAAAGTAGATGCTGTGTAACTGCCCTGTGTCTGACACAGAAGTTGCACTGGAGGGAGCAGAGTGCACAGAGGAGCACGCGGATTGTATGATGGGAGCTCGCTCTTGCCTGCTTCCCTCATTTGCTCATTGTTTAAGCACTGATTCTACTTGTTAAGAGTCTTTGGATTCCTGGGTACAATGTTTTGTGGTGCAGTGAAGCCCTGGATCCAGACAGTTTTCTCCTGTATGTCTATTGTTGGTAGTGGCGGCTTTTTTTTTTTTAATGAGGAGTAACTTGTTCAGTCTTGTTTAAAAGTAATTTGGTGGATTTTAATGAAAAGCGTATACTAATCTGTCTGAATAAAACGTGTGACTGATGAGTGACGGGGAAAAAGTGAACTGAAAAAGCTTTTCAGATGTGATTTGCTTGGGAACACTTCATTGTAAAGCATCAAGAAATGATCTTTTTCTGGAAAACAATCTGAAGTAACATCAGATGTGGTTACCTTGCAAGAAGGTTATTCTCTTTGGCATGAATGATGAAGGTGCTTGCAGCAGAGAAGAGCTGATTGTCTCCAGTAGCTCAACATCTGTAGACGGACGAAGACAGCCACGTTCCAAGTGCAGTTGCCAGGAAAATGTTACTCAGCTCGTGTTCCAGAAATGCTGACAAGGCAGTGCCTGAATGGTTCAACATGCATCACTACTGCACCTTAAAAGGTTGAAATTGAAAGAGGGGCGAAAGTGGTACAATGAGCATTTTACAGTTCTTCGCGCTACAAGATAAGGATGTGACTCTGGAACCCACTCGCATCCTGTCCTGTCTTGGAGACAGTGTTGCAACCAAAGGTCCATGAGCTGTTGTTGATCTCAGGTAGCCAAATCTCTTGTGTGTTCTGGACACTTCCAGCGGGTTATCACCTTAGGATCCTTTTAGTTGAGAAACGTATCAAAAGCTGTGCTAGTTTGCAAGTAGCAACTGCCCTTTAAGCCAACTTTAAGGTGCAAATTGCAGGAGATGAAGGCTCAATTCAGGGTGCTGTTCACCTAGGATGATGGCATGACAAGAGTGGAGATGAAAAAAGGGATTCCTTTTCATAAGACATGTCCCAAGTGTCACAAGGTCTGAATCTGCTACCCGTTTCTGTGCTGCTGTGGTTGGTTCTGCAGGGGTTGCCCCCTCGTACTCAGGGTCCCGATACCAGCTTCCCATTCGAGTCCCGTAACAGCATCTAACTGCAATGTTAAAGGAGGACTATCCTTTGAAAGTTACCTTTTTATGTGATTTCAGATACTGCCTCCTCCTCTCTAGGTTGGCGTTTAAGATAGCTAGCATGTCTGCTACAGCACAGGGAACGTGTCCTGCAGCACACTGTGTGTGGGACTCTGCATAGAACAGGAAGTGTGGGATATAAACCAAGTGATCTGGCATAAAAATATAGCTACTGATTCAGACTGATTGCTTTGGATAAATATGTTTTCCTTCTGACTTGCTGAACTTAACAGCCTGAAGTGAATCCTGTTTAAGAGTGGGTCCCATGAGTAACAGCCATCTAGGATGCTGTGCAGTCCTGACATAGTATTTCTGCTGTGGGAGAGGATGGCAAGGACAGGGAGGAGAGAGAAGGCAGTATTGCTATATTTGGCCAAAACTAAAAAGGCAACTTTATCCTTTTCAAGATAGTCCGCCTTTAAATATGCAGAATCACAAGTAATCTCTCTAATTTTCTTGTGTCCGTCCGTCTTTAATTTCTCCAGATACTGCAGGCAAACAGAACACCAACGTGTCCTATGGGGATTTAAAAACCACGTCGATGCAGTTGAATTAGCACCCATAGCGCAATCCCGCAGCCTGACAATGAACTCTGCAAGGCTGTTTATCAGAGGGTATGTTGTTGAATATTTGGCATATTTTTTTCATACAGTGCAAATAACCAAATTTCTTAGGGGGGAAAAAAAAAAGACAGAGCTACTGAGAGGATGTTTCTTATTTTGGAGGGGAAGAAAAAAAAGGTGGCTTTCATCTGTGAGTGCTAGCTTCTAGTCTCTCAGAGCCTTCCAGACAGGTTGAGTCTGTTAGTACCATATAAAGTGCAGTTAACCAGAGGCCTTTTTTGAAGCCTCTCATCTTCAGTGCATTTCATAATCTTGTTCAGAAGAAAATACTTGTTTTGCCAAAATTTCTCAATTGTGGAATAATTCTGATGTGAAAAATAACAGCTGTTTGTCTTGAGTGGGAACATAAATAGTTCACTGTCTTTACAGTTATATAATGCTTTTTCGGGGCTCCTTCATCATATAAATCTCCCTCTGGAGATTGCTTGGACTGATACGAAATATTAGTTGTGTGCCTTGTATTTATTGCTGCATTGCATCAGAGGAGAAGCAGACTATTCTATGGACCCTGACAGTTTCCTTTGGTGTTTAGATTGTATTGTAATGTGTATACACTGCGTGATATCATCTTGTGATACTGTATTCAAAAATTTAATAAAAAAAAGAAACAACAAAATGTGTGAGTAATTTTTTTAATCTATGTTGCGGTAATATGTGATGCACATCCAAGTCAGTTCCAGAAAAATCTGGGATATATTTATTTTGCCTGAAAGTACTTCTCTCAGTGAAACAATGATTTGCTAATTTGAATAATGCATCTTAAAAAGAAAAAAAAATTAAAAAAAAAGGGGGGGGGGGAAAGCCTTCCAAAATCATCTCTCCCCTCTATTTCTCGGTTTCAGTGGTGACAGCAAAATCATGTTTCTTAGTGTTGGTTTGGTTATTAAATCACACTGCCCAGTGGCACATCTGAGCATTCTGAAATACAGGTAGTAAACTGCTGGGGTGACTTGGACCCACAAAAGTGCAAGCTTCTGCCAGGGATTCAGTACCTCTGGGTTAATGAAAACCACAGAAATTCAATTTCTCGGCAGTGACATTGTTAAACACTGATTATTCTGAATCTATGGAAGTAACTAATGCAGAGACGGTGTGTGTTTTCTTCCAGACCTCAGAATATATCATTCAAGCCTACAAGTACGGTGCATTTGAGAAGATCCCAGAATTCATTGCATTTAGAAATAGGCTGAACTCTTCCCTTCACTTTGCACAAGTTCGCACAGAACGGATGTTGTTAGACCTCTTACTTGAAGCAAATATGTAAGTACAGCAGCAATAAGAGCAGCACCTCGCATATGAAAAAAATTGGAGATTTGTGCATAGGCAGAACACTGACCAGGTGAGACCAAGTGAGTTGCACTTGCAGCTCTTTGGCAGAAACCTGGGAGCTATGTGTCTCTGCTTCTAATTCTTCAGTATCCTTGTCAGTACCATGCATGTGTAACATTTCTGATGTCAGAAGAGTTGAACAGTGGAGAGAATGTGGTCTGTTACTGAGCTGTGTTTTCTGTTTCCAGTGATCAAATGTTTGAGATAATGTTGCTTGTTCTTGTGTACAGATCAACCAGTTTAGAAGAAAGTATAAAGTCCATGAGTCTGAGCCCAGAGGAAGATGACATTCCGTGGAAAGATTTGCGTGACAACAGAGACCTGACAGTCCTGTTTAACTGGGATCCAAAAGACAGGTGAGTAGAAATGCCCTCAACTGTAGAGTCACACCTTTTACCTACAGTGCACACAGCAAAGAAAATACTTTCAGGGCAACTGCCATATTTAAATGTTCTCTAGGCTGGCTAACTGCAAACTTAACAAGCGTCATTCATCACTTCTAGCAGTGCTGCCTTTTTACATATTAATACAGTTTTCTGAATTTCTGACCACTCCTTCCTTTTCATACAGTATTTGACAACCTTGGGTAGGCTTTTGTAGCTGAGCGAAGCTTGCTACTTTGCAGAATCAAAGCATTTGCCTGAAAACATTTGGTGCCTTTCTCTAGGGACATTTCCGAAGAACATAGGAAACTCTCCCTGGAAGAAGAAACTATGTGGTTGCGAATCCGGTCTTTAACATTAAGGCTAGTAAGCGGACTCCCAACTCTTAGTCACACTATTCAACCAAAGAACTCTGAAAAGACTGCAGAGAACGGCGTTTCATCCAAGATTGATACAATTCGATCCCTGCTTCAGCAGCTGGAAGCGGCAGTGGATTCAGGGAAGAAGTTTCTAGAACAAAAAATTCAGGTACCCGTTAAGGAAAAAACTATCCCCAAATATTAAGTGAACGTGAATGCAAGCAGAGAAACTGAATGCATCTTGTAACGTCCAGCAGGCTGCAGAATGCACTTAACTGACCCTGAGTTTGTAGTGTATGAATCTGACTGAGAGATGTGCCAGAGACAAACACTGTGTTCTGGATAAGGAAAAGCTGCAACACCTTTGTCTTTTTCTTTGCTTCTTGCCTAGTATCCTGTCCTTGGCCCTCCTCCTACCCGAATGGCTGGCTTCTTCAGTAATGGCAGCTGTCAGTGCCAGACTAGCTTGTTTTATCTTGTTAGTGATATTTATGAACTAGATACCAATGGCTTAGGTAAGTGTTTGAAGGGCAGGGGTTTAACCAGATTGTCGTGATGTGTGGTGGGAGGGAGCGAGATGGGCCTCCATTTAGTTTGGAAACTACTAGGTATTGGATGATATGGACCCAGACTGTGTTACTTGTGTGTTAATTTTTTTGAATGACACTGTTATCTGGGAGGCAATGCCTTAATTTAATGTTTTATATGAGTCTTCATTTTTGTACAGTATATGTTGATACAGTACTGGATCCTCTTGGAAAGCAGTTGCATTTGCTTTTAACTGCTAACACTAAATTTCATTTAAATGCCTCTTGGTTTTCTGGAAGCAGAAAATACACAAACTTGTAGTTTATCACTACTTTTTTTTTCTTTCAGAAGATTCAGCAGAAATCCAGGAGAGGATAGGGAATAGTTTCAAGTCTTTGATAGAACGACTAACAGGTAAATGGTAACTCAAGAATAAACACTAGTAGCTAAGGTAGAGCTTCACGGTGGATGTGCTGCTGAGTGTGCTGCAATTATGGGGAGTGTGTTAATGCATCTGCACACCCCTTTGAAAGATACTTGAGATCAAGGCCGAGGCTCCCCGTGGCTTGTCTGATCATGAAGCTGTTGCACGCCATGGAATGTCGTTATGTCCCATCGTTTCACTACCTGGCAGCCTAATCTTAGCAACTGTTGTCTCCCTGGTACTGGGTCGAAGTGTCCTAATAAACAGTGTGGAAATACTGCTTGTAATGAAATACAGTTTGGAGGAAACTTCAGAGCTGGGCCTTCTCAAGAGGCTTTGGCCAAATTCATCATTAACTGCTTAGTGGTCAGTCCTCTGACAGCTTTGCACATTACACTGAGATACATACTGTACAGAAAATACTCATTTAAGTTGATCTCTGTGTCCTGAATAAGGCTCCTCTTTTCTCTTTTCAGAATTGTTCAATAAATGTAAAGGTGATTTGATTGAAGTCAGAGATGGCACCTTGAAAACTCATCCAAACCTGTTAGAAAACCTAGTCTTCTTTGTTGAGGTATTTTTTTTTTCTTTGAAAACTGGAAATTTTGGTGTATGTTAGGGTAGAAATGATGGGACTATAAAACACAGTGGTAAAGAAGTTCTTTGATCTCAGTCACTCATGAAAGCAGAGGTGTTTTTTGCTGCATATTCTAACTACTCTGAGTCTTACCAGCAGGAACACTAAAACAATTTTAGAAGCTTCCTTTAAATGCAACTTGTAACATACTTGTACCTTTTTTCCAGACGATCTCCATTGCCCTGTGGGTATCAAGTTACTGTGACAGTGTCCTCCGACCTTTTAAATCCAACCTGCAAAAAAAGAAGAAGAAAAAAAAAGAAAGCAGTGTAGCTATGGTAGAGACAACATTCCTTTTTTTCCCCCCCCCGTCAGTCCAACAGCATATTTATAATGAAAGAAAAATGAGGATAGATTAACACATTAGTAAACTGTTTTACATAAACTTTGCCTTGTAGAGGCTGATGTGGTTTAGCGATTACTCAGTAATTTTTGAAACACCTTTTCTATTTAAAATCAAATGGTGACGTGCCACATCTCTGACATCATGTGACAGGCCTTCCTGTCTAGAACACGCTACAGTAAACTTGTTAACTGGTAGTGTTTATCTGGGTAGGTAGAGTATAGCTTAGCACTGGGGGGAAGGAATAGAATGATAGACATTACAAAGTGAGTTGTCATATGGAATAGTCATTTGAATAGGCATTACTATGTGTCTATAAATTAAAAATATGTATTTGTTTTTGTAGCCACCGGTATTTACACATTTTCTGGATTATGTTACTGAACTACAGACGTTAACTTCCAATGTAATAGATCACATCAAAGGGCTTGAAATGATTCTGACTGCACTAAAACTTGAAGAGCTGTCCCTCAAGGACACTCTGCTTTTACAGGTAAGAACTTGTGGCGTTATTTGTGTGCTCTGTACATTTGTGTGTGACTGATAAGAACCTGGATGTACATGTTTACGGGATACCTTTGTGAAAGCTGCTTTTCACCAAAATGTCTTACTGGAAGGGAAGAAAAAGGAAAACAAACAAAACCACCTGTTAAAATAGTTAATTGCTTTTAACCAGAGGTTAGGGACCAGACTGCTAGAAAGCTTAGTTTTAGACTGGTGTATTAGGTTTTGGTTTTTTTTCTATCGTGACACAGTATCTTTACCTCAACTGATCAGCTCCAGCTCACTGCACAAATTAATCAAAAAATGAGATCTCAATACAGGAATTTTAAAATATTTTCATTTTGTGTGACATATTAGTGAAGAAAAACTTAATATTTTAACATAATTTTGTTGTATGTGATACAACTTATTCTGTTACCTGTATTTTATATGCCATAATGAATGCAAAATACTTATTCCAGGAAACATTTGAGATTCACCTACTGCTGATTAGTCACCTCCCTGGAAACAATTAGTTGATCCTTACAGAAAAGCAAGTGGCAACTTCCCCACCATCACCCCCCCTTAGCTATATAGGGGAAACCAAAGGCAGAAGTAATAAGCATTACACATGCCAAACCTCGTGCCACATATGTGCCACTAAATAAACACACATGTGAAACATGAGCCTAATGAGGAAGCTTAGCTTAAGACATTGCAATTAGATGAGAGTTAAACTTTGTGATAGACAAATTAATGTTACTGTTGTAAGGGATCTTCTGACAGTTCAGTACTTACTATGAATGTGTTTATTTAAAACAGTGGTTGAGATCCTGAAAGTATCTTTGAAATATGTCAGAGCCCAGCTAAAAAGCCTTGAGGTGACTGAAAGCATAGAATTGGAATTTCCTTTATGGTTCTCTTGAAACACAGGTGGGGTTAAAAGGTACAACATAGCAGAGTGGTGGAATAGACATCATCTTTTGATACACAGGGGAGAGGGGCTGAGGGAGTGGTGAGTCATGCTCCATGTCAAAGGAGGATTGTAGATTACAGGAGAAAGGTTTAAGAGGGTAAATTCATTTAGGGGGTGGGAGAGACTGAGTGGGAAAAAGCACAGGCAGAAGTTGTGTTACCCAGGACCCCCATAAATTCAATTTGGAATCTGCATTTAAGACAAAACCAGGTCTCCAGTATGTTACCTAAAATGGGAAATTTGGCCTACAAGGCATTGGAGTTCAGGTTTGTCTAGGTGGGAGATATGAAGGCTTTTGAATTGTGAAGGATTTAAAAGCTGTACCCATCTATTTCAGAACTGCATTTCTGTCTACATAAGCTGCTGTTAGCCAGCTTGTATTTTTTTCAGTTACTGTCATGTTCATTTCATAGCACATTATTTAACATTGCCCGTGTCTTGTTGCTGTATGAGGCTGATGTAGAAGTATCGCAAATATATATTAAAAAAAGATACTGCAAAAACTGATAGCAAGGAAATTCCTTGGACTGTAATTAATGCAAATTTGAATAAAAGCTAGAAAGTACGTTTTCTTAATATCATCAAAGAATTTTCACTTTAGAGGGATAAGACACTTTCAGGTAATTGTTGATCTTTGTAATTTTTCTGGTTCCTCACTGAGTTGGCAAATTCCTCCATCTTCCCTTTGATGCAGGGCATCAAATCACTACACAAGGCAGATCTGGAAAAAATTACCATTAACACATGGATTTGAGCAGAAGCATCTGTGGGAGTCTGCAGCTTTTCCTGTGTTTGTTCATGATGTTTGCTATTCTGTTTGTTGCTTGGCATTGCTGCAGTAAATCCTGATAAATGCAGTCTGTATAGCTCTGCTCAGACTTGGAGCTGTGTTTGCAGCTCTGTGTTTAGAGTTTTTGAAAAAGTTCTAATAATTAGTAAAAATTCTGTGCTTTGGAATTTGATGTAAGAGTCTCTTAGCTGGTCAGCATTCATTTGCTGTTTGACTTCACTTTTCTGTATAAGAAAATCTCTACTTTAATAAATGCTGACTAAAGTAAAATGCTACATACACTCTCAATTTCAGCCACAAATACTTTTCAAAACTTCGGGAAACATCCTTGTGCAGAAATGTTGATGTGCTACCAGCCCTGTCTTGGCAATACCAGTGTCTGCAGGAATTATTGGTGCTGAGCAGGTGCTGCTTATTCTGTGCTGATGACATTCACTTTGTAAACTTACACTGTGGTCCTCATGAATTTCTTATCAGTGTTTGAGATGGTGGGGGAAATTTGCTGGGAGGATTTAAACAATCGCAGTGGAGTGAATGATTTCTCTTGCATTTTGCAGGAAGAAAAAAAGTTTACAAAGACTGTGCAAGGGAAGGTCCAGAGCAGTTACCATCACTCGGTTCAGGAAATTGGAGAGCTGCTGAAAAAGAGACTCGATACCATTAAAAAACTAAAGATTTGAGAAATGCATCCTTGACTGGCTCCACAGGGGAGTGACACCAGAGTCCCAGACAGAAGCAACATCCAATATACCATCACTTTAATCCCGAACTTCCTCATAATGCATGAAGGACTTAAAATCATAAAACAATTTTTTTAGGTATTACAGATGTATTGAGCTGATTTAAATTATTGTACATAAACGAGAAGCAGGGACCCTTATCGGGGCTTGACCACTTTTTATACATGTTCATAAGTATATTGCAACAGGAGAAAATTAACTTTCTTCCCTTTTGATCTCTAGAAACAACTGGAGATGGTCTTTAGAAGCAGCAATAGAAATCCAGTGTAAAGCATATATCTCAAAGGAATTGTATTTTCATCACCATACAGTGTTTATAATTTTTGTATGGTCCTTGCCTTAGAAATGCAGAAATTGTAGATGCCCGCATTCAGCCACCTCCAGTGAAGTGAGCCGTTTTGGAGTTGCCTATTTTGTCTGCAAGCCACCTGGTCCCACTGAATTAATTCCATGTGTTGGTCCAGCAGGGAGAGGGGAGGCTGCGCTGGAGGAACACCCTCATCATCCAGCCTTCCAGCAGAGCCCAGCCCTCCAGCGCAGGGGGGAAGAGGTGGTGGTTTCAGTGTACACACAGGTTGTTTTCACCGTTCAGAGAAAATACAAACTTGATGAGGAGCAAACTTGGCTGTTAAGCTTTAGAGAGAGAGATGGGAATCAGTGTTTCAGCAAAAAAAGACAAACTGAGAGACCTTGTGTATATAATAGGTGCAGTGAAGTCTGACACTGCAGTCTGGTTTCATGTCAGTTTAATGTAAAACAGCAATCATCATGACTTTTAAAAAGTGTATTTAGATTACTGAAACTTTAAGACTTAAATATTTTAATAGAAATTAAATCCTATTGGCTTTGGTTTTAAGTTGGCAGAGGTAACTTTTGCTTCCGCTGTGGTATGAGGCTGAGAATACTTTTTGTAACTGTATGCTTGCTTTTTGCAGTTGATCTTTCATTATTCAAGTACTAGCTCATTAGGCATTTTGTTAGAAAGTGCAGTCGCATCATCTGCCCCCACTCACTGAATCTGCATTTCTGCTGGGTTTTTTTGTTTTGAAGGAGTAATGCAGCCTAAAATTGGGAGGCAAAAAAAGGTACATGTACCTGCAATACAAGGGACAGGTCAGACTTTACAGATTCCTCATCTTCTGATATAAAGCAGCTAGTATCTCAAGTCTATATTTAAAGTTTTAAGAGAGCTGACAATCTTACCTTTGTCATCTCTTCTATGTTTTGTTAGTAATGCTAGAATGTTGATGAGAGTATTTTTTTAAAATAAATCCCCTGTATAAAAAAAAAAAAAAAAAAAAAAAAAGCTGCTCTTGCTGGATTTAGTTTTACTTTGTCCCATCCTGAAAGGGAAAGAAGAATGTCTGCAAATTGTCCAAATTGTAATGGATGTCCTGATGGTTTAATTGCAGTGTCTGGTAAGTGCTCTGGGCTGGAGGAATACTGAAATGTGTTAAGTCTGTTTTATAGTAATACTTTTCCTGGAAAAGAAAAAGAGAAAAAAGAAAAAAAAAAGAATGAACTCTTCTATGTTGTATAGAAATACTTTTTTTGGAAGAAAGGTGTGCTCCTTAAATTAAAGCAAGACTGATGACTGAGTTGATGCTTTAAAGTGTGTAGGGTAAGTGGAAACAGTCCCATTGCTGAGGTGATGCCATTCACAGAGAAGCACTGAGCCAGAAATCTGCACTGTCCCTTCTCATTCAAGGAAGCAAATGGCTGTTGCTGATGTTCCTATCCCCTCCCTCCCCCGGCACTGCTAACTCGAGGGAGCTTCGCCCAAACACCAGCATTGGACGTAAAGTTGATGGAGCACCCTCATCCAGAGGGGACAGTCCAGGGGCTGATTTATGCTGGAGTTTCTTTCCACTGCTGCTACAACAGGTTGAACTCAACCAGTCGTATCAATAAGCAATGGTGAAAATGTAAGTGTAAGGTTAATGTAACCAAGCTTTTTAAATCCTCCCATGTGCCTGAAAGCAGAACTTGCTTTAAAAAAAGGTTTTCTGCATCAGCTCCCTTAAAAGCAGAATTGAAACTGCTGCGGGGGGATTGTGGACATGTGTCATCTGAAGCAAAGTCTGAGAAGGGATGGAACCATGACTTGTTCTTGCTTCCCATCGCAGCATTTGACACGGTGCAGGCACAGCGTGGGCCGGTCACTCAAACCATCCCCGTGCCAGCACAGAGGAATAGACTGCTTCTCAGTGCTAGCTGCTGTCCCGTTTCCAGTTCCAGCCACTGGCAAATGATAAGCTTGTCAAACAATTTTTGGATTACTCAGTGTTTTATAAAACCAGATGCCATCTCTTCCTGAGCTGTAGTTTCTCTATAGGAGGAAACTGTACAAAAATGATTGTGTACTGATTGTTTTGGGGCTTGGGTGAGGGAGAACTTCTCTCCCCCTATAAATTGTGTACAGTTAAATATATATTTCTTACGAAAGAGCATTTCCCTTCCAGAATATGTCCCACAGGAACCTGGTAAGAAATTCAAGCTATAACCCGTTGCTGCTGTTCCCCCTCTTCTGATCTTGGGATTTGTTTTTGTTTCAGATTTTTTTTTTTTTTGGTGATGAATTGAAAAACATACTTAGAAGAAGCTACCAAGACTACTGTTTACAGACTGAAAAAATACTGCTTTTATACTACTGGGATCATGAGCCACGATCCTTTTACAGGTTTCCTCAACTCCTCTTTGCTCAAAATCAGTGTCTGATGTAGATCAAAGTCAGAAGTCTCCTACCCTGCTTTGTCTACATCCAGGACAAAATGTACAACGCGTTTGTGTTGCCCATCATTTTTGTACATTTTAACTGTTCAAAAATTGCATTTATATTTTGCAATCATTGATAATCATGACTTTATTTTAACCGCTAGTAATCTTAGAGGGGTTTTTTTTGTTGTTGTATCTGCAGCCTTATTTGAACTTTCTCTTCCTTGACTATTCATTGTTAATTTATGACTGTAGAAGAGATGTATGCCTCAGCCTTCTACGGACTTAAGTGACACAACTGCACCTGATCTGCTTTAAACTGGATGGGTTTATAATTTATATAAAAGTCAGTTTCGTTACAAATCAGTATTGCTGCCTCTCATTTTTCTGTCTGGGTGGTTTGGAAGTGATTGAGGTGCAGACCTACGCTGTATACCTTCACCAGCCCCTTGGTGAAGCCAGATTATCCTGGTGCAGGGCAAGAAGAAACTGAAGTTACCTGCAAAGAGGAAAGGCGGGGGGGAAACGCTCATTGCTTTCCACAGGTGGTCTGGGTTCAGAATTATGTCTGCTGGGGGCTGGCGCTTGGATGTGTCTGTTCTTTGACATGATCATCTCTCAACCTGCTTGTTCAGGCTTTGGGCGTTGCTTGCTTGCGCTTCAACCTGGCTTTCCGCGATCATCACAGGGCTGGCAGTGCGCAAGAGCTCTCCTCCGGCAACACAAGTGGCAAAGCGAGGGCAGCGGCCACCCTGCCTGGCGTGCCGCTGTCTATAAACACAGAGATTTAGACACCAGCCGGTCTCTGCTCCTCCCTGCCTGGCCCGATCCCGCACCAGCCCTTCCACCTGCCTTCATCTTCCTCTCAATTTGCAGCTGAGCGAGGGACGCGGCGGGTTGCGCGGCGTAAAAGCACCTCGCGTTATCTCCGCGGACCCGCCCCACCCCCGGGGCGGGGCGAGCCCCCGTGGTCACGTGGCCGCGGCCTCCCCGCTCCATCCGCGCTCCGCCATGGCTGCGGCGGCTGCCGCCGGCTCCCTCCTCCTCCTCTGCCTGCTCGGCCTGGCGCTGCCCGGCGGCAGCACCGCGCTGCACACCAAGGGCTCCGTGCCCCTCGACTCCATCACCTTCTTCAAGGTACGGCCTGCGCCGCTGAGGCGCTCCCGGGGTTTGTGGAGCGCTTGGGGGGGGGGGGGGGGGTGGCGGACGGCCGCTGCGGGAGCGCGGCGGCCATGTGCACCGCCACGGTGTAGCGACCAGCGGGCAGCCTCGGAACGCTGGGGGGGAGACAGGGCGGGGGGACACCGGAGGTAACGAGCGGCCGCCCCCGCTCCCCCTTCCATTTCCCTCATCCACCGGCCCCGCGGAGCGCCGGCGGAGTGGCCGAGGAGGCGGGCCCGCCGCGCCGCAGCCAGTAGGAGAGCGGCAGGCGCGGCGGGCAGCCAATCGGCGCGGTCCAAGTGGAGCCGGGGCAGCTCTGCGGAGGGGGGGGCCCCGGGCCAGGCCGGCTCCCCGCGGCTCAGCGGGCGGGGGCACTGCCTGTTGCCGGTGAGCCCGGGCAGCCCCGCGGCAGCGCTCTCAGCTCGGGCCGGTCTCTTTTTATTCACGACAGACAGAGCAACAAGCATCTCCCAGACTTTCTCGCACTGTTTGTTTGGTTTTTTTTTTTTTTTTTTTTGTTTTTTTTTTTTTTTTTTCCCCTCTACATCACTTAGAAAAGAAGGTGTCTGCCTGGCAGGATTTTGATGTCGGGAGCAACTAGTGCTGCGACGGGCGCCGAGGCCCAGCCCGAGGCAGATGGCGAGGTGCCTGTCGCAAGGGTCTGGTGGTATGGCAGGATTAAATTGTGTGCTGCATCAGGGTGAGCTGAAGAGACAACAGTCGGCCGAGCTGTTGGAAAAGTATCTGCCCTAAGCAAACTGCTCAGGTGTGAGCAAGGATTTCTTGCTACATGCCAGCCCCCTGCTTGATTTTTCTGCTGTGACAGAGTACAACCCTCAGGAGTTTCCAACTCTGCAGTAAGAAGAATTTGAAGTAATTGGCAGAACGCTGCAAGAGGGACTTTAAAAGACCAGCAGAAATGCCAAAGCTGGAACACTTGCCATGCTCACTTCTTACCAGGACAGTAAATAATATGATCGGCTGCCCAGGACTGAAGGCTTCTGTTGACTGTTGCAACCAGTTGTTGTGTCAGTGCCTGAGCAGTGCTGGCGCTGCACTTTGTAGGTTGGGACCTGTGTTGCAACATGGCCCTGTTCCCTAGAAAAAAAAGGTTTTGCAAGGTCTTCTCCTGGAGGGAGAAAAAAAATTAAAAAAAAAAATCCCAAACCAGGTGACAGATTCCATTTCCAAGCTCACTTGATAGGACGTCAGCTGAGCAGAGCAAAATTCAGAAGCAACGGCACGAGTGAAGAGGAATCGATGAAAACAGGAATTCTCCATTCCCTGAAACAGTAGAGCACCTCCAGCACCTCTGCTCCCTCCCCTGGCAGCGAAGAGCTCATGCTGGGGCGCATCCGAATCACATTAGATTTGGCCTCTCTCTTAATGTCCCACTGGAAATTGTTTAGCAGACTTCACTCCAAGATGCTAATCAGATTTACAATAAGCAAATCGTATATAATTAAAGGCATTATCAGATCCCCCAAACCTACCACGTACCATCTTTATCATCTAGTGTAGGAACACATACACCCAAAGCTCAGTCTTTCCTCCACACTGCAGTGAGTCATTTCTGAAAGGCCATAATTATAAAATTTCCACTCTCCCTCTGCATCTACTCATTGCACAGGAAAAGAACAAGCTAAAGCAATCTTAGGTGACTTGTGGATTGCTCAAACTTGAAATGTTAAAGTTTTATCTTTTTTTTTGTTGTTGTTCTTCTTGTTTTAGGTAGTTCCAAAGCATAAATTTGTCCTTGTGAAATTTGATACACAATATCCGTATGGCGAGAAACAAGATGAGTTTAAAAAGCTGGCAGAGAGCTCAGGCTCCAGTGATGATCTTCTGGTGGCTGAAGTGGGAATATCAGGTGAGGAACTCTGGGAATATTAGCGCAGTGTGGGTTGGTGGAGGGAATAAACATCGCTGCAGTTTCTGATAAAAAGAGGCTCTGAGGTAATTCTGATAGTGAGAAATGAGATGGGCCCAGCCCTGTCAGATCAAAGCACGTGCTCTGGCTGGGGGCAGAGCTCTGCCACTGTGCCTCCTGCCACGAGCGTAGGAGTGCTGCTGATCTCCTTTTGGCGGGCGGGCGGGTTAATGAAGCGAGTCAGCCCACACTGCTAAACTGGATGCCATCCTCCTCATTCATAGCACTTTTTGTCTTTATGGTTTTTCTTTCCTTGCTGAGAGAAACCTTTTCGTCCTTTTCTAGGGAACAGGCTTTACAAGAATTGTTCTTTAGCCACAAACCTGGTCAAACAAAGCATATGTAATACGATTAATTAATTGTAGCAAACCCTCTGTTTATTGCTGGTGAAGCACAGAAAGTGGTCCTTGCACTATGGCTGGTGGAACTTGTCCTTGCAATTGGCTTCAAGAGAAAAGCAGTGAAGAATGGATCACTGTCACCTTACTCACTCTTGCAATTGGCTTCAAGAGAAAAGCAGTGAAGAATGGATCACTGTCACCTTACTCGCTCTTGCTTTGTAGGTAGAGTTAAGAATTTAAGCTTAGAGGAATTGTCAAACGGGAAACTTTCACCCACACTGACATCTCTAAACACACATGGCTAAATAGTATAGTTGAAATCTCTTAGGTACATGTTTTCTGTCCTCAAGAATAAAGGCAATTTATGTAAGATGAGAAAATATCTTGTAGCTTGGCACGCTGTCAGAACTAAAACATGTTAGTGCACACTCTCTGCACATAGAAATGAATGGATAGATCAAAATGAGGGAACAAAAGGCAATTTCCCACAAGGAGGGCAGGGTGTGTACGTAGAGGTCCTGCCAGTTACGCTATCACAGTCACATCAAATCACCATTAGAACCTTGTATTTTTCTTTGGAAAACCTGATGGTTTGCCTTGCATGAGTGATTTTCTGGGGTGTTTTTGTTTCAGTGTATGGCATTTTGTGCCAAAGAGGTTATTAGGACATGTTAAAACTTTGGAGACGAATATTTGTTGGTTTGTATAGGAGAGAATCCTAAATTAATTTTTTCTTTTGATTAACATACTGTGCATTTCTGTGTTTCATTTTCTCATGACAGATTATGGTGATAAACTGAACACTGAGCTGGGAGAAAAGTACAAGCTGGATAAGGAGAAATTTCCAGTTTTTTACTTGTTCCAGGATGGTGACTTCGACAATCCCTTACCTTACAGTGGCCACATCAAGGCCGGGGCTATTCAGCGCTGGCTGAAGAGTAACGGCATCTATCTGGGGATGCCAGGCTGCCTGAAAGAGTACGACATGCTGGCCAGCAAGTTTGTGAGCACCACTGAGAAATCAGAACGCCAGTCCCTCCTGAAGAAGGGGCAAGAGAGTTTAGAAAAAACAAAGGAAACTGAGAAGAAGTCAGCTGAGCAGTACTTGAAAATTATGAGCAAGATACTGGAGCAGGGAGAGGAGTTTGCTGCTAATGAAGTCGTCCGAATCACAAAACTGATTGAGAAGAACAAAATGAGTGATGGAAAAAAGGAAGAGCTCCAGAAGAGCCTCAATATCCTTGCTTCTTTCATGAAGAAGAATAATGAAAAAGATGAGCTCTAATATGTTGGAGAACTTTGTACAAGCTGTGAAACACTGTCAAGAGTCCTAACCAGTTCTCCTTATGCAAACAAACTTCCCGCTGACTTCAAGAGAGCAGCAGATTTCCTTCTGGTATTCTCAGTTTAGAAGACAAAGAGGAAGACATTCCTTAAAAACACAGTATTCTAAATGTTGGAAAAACCACCTCAAAGCAAGACACCAGTGTTGTATAATACTATTCAATAACAGTGTTAAAGTAGACAGAAAAAAAAAAAAAAAACAAGCACTAGATTGGCCTGAAGCACATTCCTGGTGGTTTTTACAGCCGTTCCCTGGCAAACAAACAACAAAATTCACTCTTGCATTCCATCCTACATGTTGTAAAAGGTACAGATAGGGTGCCCCTCACATCCCTGCCTTTCCCTGTTCTTAGTGTTCTTGGGTTTTATGCTCATTAATCTACCCCTCCTCCTAGCTTTTGTTTTACCAATAGGGCTCCTTCTCTGAGTCTTGTTCTCCTTACCTGTTGTTGACTAAGAGACATGGAGTTTCGGTTTTCTGCCTTCTTCAGTGGCTCCTGTCTCTGTTTGGCTTGGGTATTGGCCAAATGCTGGGAGGCATAGTGAAGACAGGTCCTCCACGTATCAGAACTTGTCCCTCATCTTCTGTCTGGAGCAGCCATTTCAGCAAACGTTCTCCTGAAATCTTTTGTGGTACCCTGACAGAGCGAGAGATTTATGTTCTGAGCAAGGGCAGAGTCTTCCTCAGGTGCTATTACACTTAGTGTTACCAGTTTGTGCAAAAACCTGTTTTTTCAGAGGTAAAGTTGGGTGAGTTCTCATGGTTGAAGAGCACATGCAGCGCCTGTGCATTTTGCCTGTCCTTCTCATTCAAGCTTCATTTTCCAGGTTTAAAATAAGGGGGAAGGTGAGACCAGTAAGGACATCTGAAAGTGTCAAGCCATAGTTAAGATGAACAAAAGATTTTCTCCAGCATCTTCTTAAGAAGCAACTGACACTGTCAAGCTAAATCTTCATCAGCATTTGGTAGTTTTAAGTATTTGAAAATGAGGTCTTATAACAGGAAGCACAAGTATTTGTGCCCCTAGAAGTTCCATCTGTGCAATTTAGAGATACCTGGCCCAGAGATCAGCTCAGTCCTCAAAACTTGATGCTGCATGTGCTGTTCACGATGTGTGGAATTCAAATGCTGTACATCTGACCAGGGTTATAGAGTTGAAAAGAAAAACACCTGAATGTTTTACCTTAAGACAATGCTTTAAGCTAAGCAAAACTGGTTTCTGTGGGAGCTTTGCTGCCTTTTGAATCCTGGCGTGGGTACAAGGAGCAGATACTGCTGCGAGATAAAATGTATTAATAATGCTATAATAAAAAAAAATAAGTGGTTCCAGTTAAAGCTGCTTCTTAAACTGCTTCCTAGAGAAACTGGTGCAGGTTTCTGCGGTTAGAGGGGAAGGAAAGGCTGATGCTGATGCCCCTGAGAAGCAAAAGACATGGCCCGGCAGTGAAGGGTTTACACGAAGCGGTGAGACGGTGCCCTGGCGCCTTCTCCCCGTTATCTGGGGAGGCAGGCCCCCGGGCAGGCCGGGAGTTGAAGGACACTCTTCCCGCGGGCCGGGCGAAGGCGCTTCCCGCCTCAGCCCCTGAGGAGAGAGGCGCTGCCTCGCGCCGGCCCCCTCAGAGGCGCCGCGGGGCGTGGCGTCACCAAGGGGGCGGAGCCGCTGGAGAGATGGGGACGCCGGTGCTGATTCGCCGCGCGGGGGTAGCTAAGCAGGGTCGTTTCGGGACGGCGCCTGGAGGGGTGACTTGCGGCCAGGGCCTGGGACTGGGCCGCGTTCCGCACACCCGGTGGGGATGCGCGGGTCGTCGGTTCCTGGGACGCTAACCCCGCTGTTTCCCCCGAGGCTCCAGCCCCTCTCGCTGTCGGCTCCGCCGGCGGGGGGCTGGCCGTGGGGCGGGCCGGGCGCGGGGTGGCCCTGGGGCGGAGCCCGTAGCCCCGGGAGCGGTGCAGCGGCGGTGGCGGCGGCGGGGACCCATGGCCCTCCCGGCGGAGGCGGCCCGGCTGGACGGGGGCTGGCAGGAGGTGAGCGAGCCCCGCCGGCACCGGGACCCCCGGGGGCAGCGGCTGTTCCCTCTGCCGGCACCCTGCCCGGCCCTTCCACCCTCCTTCGCCCCCCGGTCTGTACCTGTCCGTGGGCGGCTCCCGGCCCTGCGTGGGGCCGCGTCGCGCTGAGCTCCCACCCGCTTTTTCCCCCAGGTCTACTCGGCTCTCCAGTGGATACAGTTCACCATGGCCATGCTCAGGTACAACGCGCTGCCCAACCCGTGGCCCCGGGGATGGAGTTATGATGACGATTTTCTCCAGAAAAAGAGAAATCGCTTATCCTAGCGAGGCAGATGTGCTCCTGTTCCAACCTGTGCTTTGTTTTCTCAGTGTAATAGGTTCCAGCTCAATTATTGCCTACGCTGTCTTTCAAAATGCAGTGCGCTCCCCCGAGGTAAGGTCTGAGCCTCCCTTTCTCTCCCTAAGCCGTGGCATTGGCACCTTGCAGATGGGTCACACATGTAGCAAAGACCCGCGTGGGTCAGGCGCTCTGCTAGGAGCAACTGCAGGTCTTGGGCTTAGGTGGTTAAACCTCCTTTAGCAACTGGGAGGCAAAGGGCTTGCCAAGAATTTGGCACTTTGTGATAGGAGTTGGAGGGACTAACCTTGAACTGTACCCACACAGGGAGAAGCAGGTTCCTTAGCCCTGCGCTTTCTGCCGCTTTGGGGAAATCCTCCAGTCATTCCTGAGAACAGGGATTTTTTAGCGTGACCTCTTCTGTGGGGCGAAACGCCTGGAGGGCTGAGGAGCTGCTTACGAGACCGCTGAAGTGCAAATTGGAAATGCCCTTGTAGGAAATGTATTTACAGGTGTTGGTGTTTGGGCATGTCTGAGTAGTTTTTGCAGGCAGGTGCGCTGCTAAAATGATAAAACTCAAAGGTGCTGCAAAGTTCAGACAGAAAGAGGCCAGGCTTAAAAGCAGTTTGCTGTGCAAGCCTCCGCAGTGGGGCTTTGGAAGATTCACCCTGGTCGCACCCAGGAGCCACAAACATTTCTAATGCTGAAGCCGCGGTACCCGGGTGCAAACGTCCCTCGGGGTGGGACTGTCTGTGCGTGCAGTGCAGATCTGATGGGAACACACATCCCAAGAGCATCACACATGCAGGGAGCCCCGTGTGCCTGGGGTAGATCGGAGGTGCCGAGCAGACAGCACGTGCACGGTAGCCATGGACCTCCAGCCCAAGCCTGACAGGCTTTTGCTGTCCACACGCAGTCCCTCTGTCTGTCCAGGACTTTGGGGATCTATGTGAAGCTGGAGGTCGTTGTCCAGGATTTGCAGGTGTCTGGCAGCCCAGTCAGTGGACCACGCAGATAGCAGGTTACTGCTAAGAGCAGTAGGACTGTAGAGCTGGCAGCTATGTTATAACAAAGCTGTATTTGTACTTCCCTCATCTTCAATGTTCTTTGTACATCGTGGGTTTGATCTGTAGCCGAGAACAAGACTTCAAGGGAATGCAGTGAGTTATCCTCAAGGAAGGAAGGCATGTAGTCAAGCTAACAACTGACACATTGTTGGCTGAAGCCAGGTGGGGAGGAGAACATGAGTCCAGGTTTGCAGGGCAAATTTGCACCCCCTTACAACATGCAGGGCAGTCTTGCTCCCAGGCAGCCAGCCTCCTGGAAATGCTCTGCCCAGCACATGGAGAATGGGCTGTGGAAATGTATGTGTGTTCCCAGGGAGAAATGACAGCTAGAACTTGACCTTAGTGCTGGGATGGAAAACCTGCATGACCTTGTGCTGCACAAGGTGCATATCAAAGGCTTCCTCTACCACATCTCCTGCACCTGGAGACCTCCAGGCACGGTTGTCTCCTGGGGTCCTCCAATCTGGTGTGATATGGATCTGGGTTTGGCAGGTGTCCTGGTGTGACTTGCAGCCTTGGCCCGTTTACTTCCACGGCTAGAAGTCTGCATTACTCAGGAGCCCTTGTGCTATTAGTCATATGATGTGGCTGTGGCTGGGGAGCCACACATGGCTCCAGGGCACAAATGGATTCTTCCTGCTTGAGAGAGTCCAGATGTTTCTGCTCAGATTATTTCTGCAAATCCGGATAGGAGGGATGGATACCAGCTGGAGTGATTTGTCTGCATCAGCCTTGTTTTGCAGCCGGGGAGATCCATTGCTGGTGTTTTAAAAGCAGCAAAATCTTCAGTAGCTTCCCCATTGACTTGTCCCCATGTTTCTGGTCTTAAGTAGAAATTTGTAAACAAAGGGGTTGGAAGAGATCCATATCAAAGATTGCTACAAACAGCTTATTCTGTGAGTCATGAGGCTCCAGAGTAAAATGTTTAAAAATAAACAACTCTGGAGGCTGGGAGGAGAACAATGTTGTAAACACTTCCCCTCCTGCCCCCAGCCTAGGAAATCAAATATTGCATTCTTGAAGCTTGCTTTCTGTCTCTATGGGGTCAATAAAACTCTTCAGCCTGAGGTGAATCATTCAGAAGAGATGATGGCAAGCAACAAACTAAGAATTTCCTCTGTCATGTCAGTAGGTTTTGTGCAGGCAGATGTTCCTGGGCAATGGCCAGACAGAGCTAAATCAACATGTATGCTCCAGCCTGGCAGCCCCTCTGAATTGTTATGTCTTTACATTCCCTTCCTCTATTTTATAAATACCATTTGTTTTTTTTTTTTTTCTTTTTCCTTTTGCAAGAAAGAACCATGCTGCCTTTCACTTACTACTATGTCACCTACTTCTTTATTTAGGCCTGTGCCAAAATAGCTCCTCAACCAACCAGTGGTGCCTCGCTCCAAGGACAATTCTTGCTAGAGAAAGGGGTCACCTGTTTGATTGCAAAAGTTGCTTCTTTGCTTATTTGAGCTGTTTGGTTTTGACCTGCTGTGCTTGCAAACTGGATGATGTCTCCAGCCTGTCATGCCTGCCTGGGCTTCAATTCTGCATCGGAACCCTAGTTAAAAAGACATTTGTAAATGCAATGACACAAACTACCTCCAGATATTTAGTTAGCAACAGCAGTTTGATTTACCGTGTTGTTGGGTTGGATGGTACAAATACAGAACTGGAGGGACAAGAATGTTTGAGGAGACACATCCTGTGGAAGGCAGAGGACCTGCCACGCTGCTGGATGGCAGTGGGGGGCCCGGGAAGGCATGAGGCAGATCACCCTCAAACTATGCCATAAGGACAGATCTGGTTCAATCAGCTCTATTTTGCCATCTTACCAATCTTACTAAGCTCTTTCTTGTTGCTCACAGGAACAAGACAAGTATCACACAATGAACTGGGTGGCAAACATTTACTTAAAGGACAATATTGAGGCAAATCTCACCAAAATCTCAGTTCCATGAAAAAAAAAATCTTAAAATCAAGGACTCCTGAAATGTTTCCGTGCTGTGTTTAGCGTTATAATTTCCTGTAGGGTGGGGGGAAAAAAAAAAAAAAAGCCATCATTTTGTCTGTAGGATGCTGAAAATTAGGTACAAGAGACTACAATTAAGAATCTAGATAATTAGACTGCTTTTCCAGAGTGTCTGCTCTCCCACTAACAACTTAAATGTTGGCCAGAATCTTGCACAAATGTTTGTGTACAGTGTTTACAGTCCTTTTGGCCAGTGCATGCAAACTGGAAATGGGCTGGAAACTGCCATTAGAGGAGACGCGACTCTGTTCCAGCAAGATGAGGTGTGCAGCAGAGAGACTCATACTGAAAATTAATCTGGCATGTAAAATAGTCTCAGCCTTAGTCACCAACTGAAATGACATGAAACGCATAGGAGAAATGTCTGTTTCAAGTTATTTCAGACCTGAAGAAATGTTTGTGTTTACCAAAAGTTTGATTTCGCTACCAATTGATTTAACAAATAACATGCTTCTCCCTGCCAACCTGTCCCATTCTGCCAAACTGTAACATTCTGGACCTTTGAGATATTTTCTGTAAGAGTTGATAGTGGCAGAAAGGGTGATTAGAGCAGGATATCTGCATTGAAACAGCTCCTGAGAGCCAGAATCAGCATGGGATTTGTGTACCAGAAGAGCTGAGGGACAAAAGCATATTTAGATAATGGGGTAAAAGAGCTGCTGTAGGTGGCCGTGGGAGTGTTGTGACCACCGCTCAAATCTGCTGACCAATTTCACTTTTCCCAGATTCGTCCACTTTTCTACCTGAGCCTCTCCGACCTGTTTCTGGGCATGTGCTGGCTCGCTGGAGCACTTCTGTATAGCACACCAACCTCCAAGCAGGATCTCATCTGCTATAACCTGCAGGCAACAGGACAAGTGAGTAGCCTTGGCATTGCCATTCGTGCTCTTCCTGTGCACCCTTTGTGGTAATTAGCCTCACTGGTGGTCGGAAAGTGACCATGGGGGACTGTTTCTAGACAGGCTCTGGCAGAGACTCCCCATGTGACCCTGACTTATCAGGTTTCTTCGCCTCGTGTGTAAAACTGAGATAACGATGCTCAGGTTTAGGTACGTCTGGTTTGTGAGAGGCAATGAGGAAGGCAAAGAGAGCATGGGATTTTGTGGTTGCTTGTGTAAAGTGAGTAGATGGGTCTTAATCTATTTCCTGTTGGAGCCGTGCCAACAATGATCTCTGTGCCTCTTGCTTGGCAGCTTCTCTTTTTCTCTTCATGCTTCCTCCATCCTGGACAGGAACAGACACATTCTGCGATTTGCATGAGCTCAGACTTACAACATTACTCATACAAACAGCCCTGCTCTTGCTGATCTGGCCCTATCATCTCTCAAACAATCCCAAGGATGCTCAGGGACTGCTCCATCAGCACAAGCTCAGCCCCATGCCCCAGTGATTCGGCTGCTTTCCAGCTGATTCTGTGTGCTGGAGACTAATTGGAGTGAGTGAAATACCATTATCCTGTCAGTTTGCTTTTGTCTCACCAAGTTCCCACTTCAGCATCAGGCTTTGTAAATCATTGCTCTCAAAAAACTCTGCGGGATGTGGCCAAGCTTGGACCAAAGCGGTGGTTCACAAGCGGTGATCTCCGGGCTTAACAGTTTTCTTTTAAAGGACCACAAAAATGTGGCTGGGAAGAGCAAGTGGCTGTTGGGAGCCTTGATGTGTGTTGTGGGCTTGGGCAGCTCCCTGAGAGCGTGATGGTACCCACAGATGGGAACTGAAACATCCTTGCTGAGTGGCAGCATCTGAAGCTGGAGAGGCTCTCCAGGAACCTCGGAGAGGGCAAGGAAGGAGTTGGGTGTGTGGTATGGAAGTGTTCATGCTGTTGTGTGTTTGCAGCCTGGGCTTGTTTCAACAGCTGTTCTTGTGGGTAAAACTGTAATAGTCATGATGGTTAAGAGCAGCTGTTCCACTGCTGGCTTACCTCCGGTTTCTCTAGCTCCACTGTGGAAGCACCTCAGTGTGTTCATGTTGAGAGAGGGAACGGTGGGATGTGGGTAACTTGGCCACTTGGGAACGATACAGAGCAGCATTAAAGATGGTATTTAGATGATAGTACAGAGGACAATGAGAAGACACAAGCCATGACAACTTGGGAGAGGTTTTTCGGATCTGGAAAGTGGAAGGAGCATGCAGGACTGAAGGCATGTATGTCTGAGATGTTTCCGTTGCAGCTTTGCCTGGAGAACACTTCTTAATGTTGATGATGTCCTGGAGAAGACAGGCTGCACCACTGGAGGAGAAGCTGGATATAGACAATAAGCCATCATTTCTCAGCAAAGACACTGGGAGCATGCTATGCTCCCATGCATTTCTGGCTCTTTTTTTGCCCTTGCTTTTCCAGCCTGTGGCTGTGCAAGGGATGAGGGCAAGGTGGGACCAGTACTTTCATACTGGGAAAGGCAGAGTGGGTAGGCAGAGCTGGTCTTAGGCCCCCCTGGGGGACAGTCAGGGGGCTGTGGTGGAGTGTGCAGGGCGTGGGTCACATCCTGACCTCAGCCACAGGGTCACCGGGCTTCTCTCCTGCGTGCCACCCACAGACCAGCCCCTGCCAGGATGGCAGAGCCAGCTTGGGTCTGGCAAGAGCTGTCGCTGCTGTTTGCTCTGGAAGAAATTAAAACAAACGGAGCACTTGCCACGGCAACCGTGTCCGCATGGTGCACGTGACAGGGTGCAGGACACCTCCTTGCTAAACACCCCAGCAATGCCCTTGTGTGGTGGGAACACCTTGTGCATAAGTAAGAGCTGGTAACAGGTTTAACCAGCAGCTTCTGCAGAGCACAAGTGATCTGTAACCAAATGAAATGAGTAAATGTCTCCTGGCCCCATTCTGCCCATGCAGAGCGGGGAAGTCTCGCAAGGGTTGCGTTCCTGGGCGTCTCCTACACACACGCAGCTTTTTTGCGCACAAACACGTAGGAGGTGGAAAATGCACTGAAGGACAAGGCTCAGGGCTGCTCAGCGGTGGTGTTTGCAGGTGGCAGCCCTTGGAGAGACTCAGGCCACAGTCCCTGTGATGTGGTTGTCTCAAGGGATTGCCTTAGGAGCTGGATAACATTTTGCCTTATTCAGCCTGTTTATCATCACTTTATCACTAAGGGCTAACGTTACAGCAGATGGAACTCCCCTAACATCCATACTGTGTCGTAAAGAAGGAGATTGCTTTGTTTCTTGGACTTTCTCTGTTTCAGCCCCAGACTCTTGGTTGATATTAAATGTAAATACTGCTCCCTTCTGATGGCCGTTGACTTTGTTCTCTCCTCCTCCTTGCCTTGCCTTTGCATTACAATAATAGAGTCCAGAACAGAGATTGTGGTTATAATTGCACAATTCCCCCCACATTCTTCCAGTTCAGTTCCAGTGGCCTAATAATGTCCTAGCGGGCTCCGCTCACGCTGGCGAGCACAATGGGGAGCCACAGAAGTGCTATAATGAGAGACTCTCGTGTCTCCCAGCTCCTGCTTTGCCTTCTCCTGGGGAGCACTGCAGGGCTGTCCACAGCCCCAAAGCTGGGGTTCAGGAGAGCAGAACTCCCTTCGCTTTCTGCTGGCAACTTTACAAGTGGCTTTTGGTTCCCTCTTCCAAAAAACGAAGGTGGTGCTACACATTTTGTGAGCCTCTCTCAGGCGTTTTGAAGTGCAAGAGGACAATCTTTGTGAGCTGTTTTGATGGCCTTCTTTGGAAGCAACTGAAGAAGGGCAACAAACCCTCATTAAACCTGGTCTAATGAGCTGGAAAGCCACCGTAATGTTCCTGCTGCAATGTAGCAGCCCCTTGGACTCAGCCAGCAGCATTTGCAACCTCAGTGAAGGGGACCAAGCTTATTTAATAACTGCTTTCCCAGACTTGGATGATAACAGGGTGGCAAACTTGTGTTCCATGCCTCTTTGGCAAAGGATAGCAAATCCACAGAAAAAACTCACTTCTCCAGCCCTTCCTCTTTGCCACTGAAGCATGTGTTTCCTGTAACAAACACAGCACACGCATATATATATATAGTATGATTAGGCAGCACTGTTTATACTTGACTGCCTGGAGCAACCATGGATTCAGTAAGAAATGCCAGAAAGATTTGAGGGTTTTTTTCTTAACAGGAGATTTTAGATACTTATTCTCACCTCAAGCTGAAATCAAGGACTGGGAAGTTTTGTGGGAAACAGCATTCTGTATCTCTTCTTTCCTCCTTTTCCCTGTGAAAATGACTCTCAAGATGTTAACTCAGGCTTAGTGCAGGTATTCTCTGCCCTCACTTTCCTCATTAAATATACTATTGTTTTCTGTTTCCGTGAATTCACTGTGTAGTGAGCTCATTATGTGACAAGCAAATCTAAGTGCTGCATCTGTGTTGTGTTTCCTAATGGATGTAGCACAGAAAGGGTCCAAGTGTCTTTGAACTATTTGTTGTCAGTATTTGGGCCAAAAAATGAGCCGAATCACAAAGATTTGTATTTTTAAGACAGTTTGCTGTCATTAGTTCTCCTGTCCCTGGTTTGGGGCCAAAATGAAGCTGCCTTTGTGCGGTCTAAGGTGGGAAGCCCTCCTCTATCCGGCTCTTCCCAGTTGGTGTCCCACTGCAACCCAGTAGACATGAACACAGGGGCTGTACAGGGACCCTCACCTTTGGCAGTCCCCTACGCTGTTTGGCATCCTGCCTCTGGCCCACGGGCTTTGGGTTCATCAGCGATGAACTGAAAGTACTACAGGAACTATTATTATAGGACTGAAATACTGTCTGTTTGTATTTCTCAGATATTCTACGTGGCCTCTTTTCTATACACTGTCAACTACACCTGGCACCTGTACATGGATCTAAAGATGAAATACAATCAGAACCTTTTCAGGATCGCACCCCAGGTGAGTAGGACTGACGTGCAACAACTGTTGGGTACCAAGGTCTAACTGTGGGCTTGTGGTGAGGTTTAGGAGGTGCCTGTGTAACAGTCTATCTCGCCACAAGGACTTTGAAGGTCCTTCAGCCCCACTACTGTATGAATTGATGTATCTTGCCCACTGAGGTCAGCAGAGTTACTGCTGGGTCTGCTGTAGCGTCTCAGTGGAAGATTAGGCTTGCAAGACTAAAGCAGACAAAGGCCGATGGCAGCGTATGTCTCAGAGCAGAGAAAGCTCAGGCCTGGGTGTTGGTGAAGTCCTTCTGCAGTTAGAACAGCAATTTGCACCAGCTGAGTGACTGGTTTGTTGCTGTCACTGCCTTCTGCCAGTGCATGGCAGAGGGGATAAGAAAGCAGGGGGTGCCTGGACAGCCTGGGACTGAGAACTGACAATTTCTGTCCTTCCCAGGTGTCATACAGCGTTCAAGAGCATCAGTAAGTATTGTAAGAATTTGAGATAGGAGGTGTGACGGAAATGAGCTAGTGATTAAAGGACCCGTTGGCTCTGTGAACAGTGGCCAATCCTCACTTCATCATCGCTGGCCTTTACAAAAGCCCTTTGGGGAACCGGCGTAATCACTGGGAACCGAGGAACAAGGACATAGTACTCAGAAAAATACTCCTAATGTTGCAGGCTAAACAAACACTTCACATACCGTGTGACCAAAATCTCTCCTTGCAGTTGTTTCATTCCTCACTCCTTGCTAAGCAGTGAGGCACTGCCATTGGTGTTGCTCCCGATGTATTGCTGCAAGATGACAAATTCCTTGTGCAGCTCTTCCCATTGAACCCAGCAGTCCCATTTCTTCCCCAGACATTTGCTGTGCACAGCAAATTTTGCATCCCAGATATTTCACCCAGTGGTTCGGGAACAGCAGGCTGAGCAGATCACTCTACATTTCAAGGGTTCTTGTCCACAGGGTTTGGATCCATTTGTAGGGCTGGTTTCCTTCTTGCTGGACTCCCATTCCGAACAGACCACCTACCATAATTCCCCACCACTACAGCTGTGCCCATGTTGTATTGTCATAGCTGGTATGTGGATGCCAGCTGCCAAAGTACATTTTCTGGTGAACAAAGACCCAGACACTCCAACTTACCTGCATTTCTTCACCAGAACATGAAGTTTCTGAGGAACAGAGCCAGGTTAAGTGAGTAAACAGTGCAAAAAAAATGAGTAAGTTACACCAGAGAGCTCATCCAATGTCTGCTCCTTGTCCAGTTCCAAGTTCCCTTCTCAAATCCTTTAGTCTTGAAGGAGAGCAAGGCAGTAAGCGGGTAGAAGCATCAGTTGTTTCTGGTGCAAATAGGCACAGACTGAACTCAGCGGTGTTGATTCAGTGCAAAGTGGAAACAAACATTTGTGCTTGGTCTGGGGATTAATCAGCATTTGAAGAGCCCTCAGCTGCTGAAGTGTTCCCTGGGAGCTGGTTCATGTGAACCAGTGACCATATGGAAATGATAATTTCATTAAACTCTTTGAATTTTGCAGGTTGTAGATTATGCTAGTTGCATTGGCCGAATAGCAACGATCTCGTCTAGGTAAGATTTAATTCTCTCTGGCAGAATGATACAGTTTTGGTTAACTGTAGCGTGCTGATCTTTGCTTCCTATTCTATTTTGAAGCAAGTTTTACTAAAACCTGTAAAGCTTATCAGTAACAGCAGAGTGACTGAACAAGCTCGGAGTAAGAGGTTTTGGATGTAAGGACCTTTGTCCAACCATGTTACTTATAACTCTATTAACTACATGTAGTTTTTCAGAAAGTGCTCCCTTTACCATGTGTTGCCTGCAGGAATTAAAGTGCAGAATTTAGTAAAGCTGATAAAATACTCTTCCAGAGCACTGTCAGTAAAAACAATTTTTAAGTCCTCTATAGTGACAGGATTAAAAACAAGTAGTGTTTATTTGAAGATGGGAGCAGTGCAGTGCAATAGCTAACAACTGTGCTCTTGTCCTTTCTCCTCTTAGCCTGATCCCTTTCCTTCTCATGGTGCCTGTGTTTTGCCTGGGCAACAGCAGTAATTGCTACCAGAACTTCAGCCAGAAGCACGGGTAAGCTTCTCGCATCTCTGAAACAGCCCCACTGCTTATGAGTCGCGGCAGGAGCTCAGGCTCTTCCCTTTCTCCCCGCAGATGTCTCTTGATGCACACGGAAATAGCCATGCCCACCAACGAGCTGCAAACCCTGAGTGGCTCTGTTTGCCGTGCGATGCATTTCTATGGCATTGGGGTCTTCCTCATTTCCTTTCTGATCAGCTTCATAGCCATTCTGGTAAGAAACGTAGTCCTTCCACGCTAGCTGTTGATGGTCAGTGTGAGATTTTTCTCCTTTTTATCTTTACATCTTTGCTTAGATGGTACCAGAGGCCAGGCAATGTCAGGGGAAGAACTGTGTGGTGCTGCTTCCCTTTTGGAAGGAGTGGGAGGGGAGAGAAATATCTTTGCCACCATATAAATCCATTTGGAGTCCTGTGTTCTGTGAACCCCCTCCAAAAAGGATTTAGCAGGTAGAAAGGCTCAGAGCATGGCAGCAGAGATCACCTATGGCATGGGTCAACAAGAGCCCAAATCAATTCAGAGTCTTCAGTTCAGAAAAGGTCATGTTCAAAGCAACTGCTCGCCCCCAGGGAGCACACTGTTGCATGAAAAGGTTTGATGGATTGAAATGAGATACTCTGTCCTAGATGGACAAGTGAGATCGGAGCACGTGCACAAAATGCAAACAGTGATGTATGCTTGTTCTTTTTTAGGTTATACTCAGTCGAGCCCGAGGTTTGTACAAAAGGTTTGTAAATGCCACAGGATTCCTGGGGGATCAGCAGTGGGCCATGATTAAGACGGTAGAACAACGGGTGGTGTTTTACCCCATCGCATTCTTCTGCTGCTGGGCCCCAGGTTAGCAGAGAGCTGAGTTACTCTCACAGTATTCCCCTAGGACATAGTGCCTGGTGAGGAAACTCAGAAGAGGTGGGGTTAAATCAACACCCTCTTGTCCATCCCTGTTCACAGCTGTCCTCCTTGGAATACTGAAGCTGACTGTTTCAACAAACAGCAAAATCTACATGGCTCTTCTGATTCTACAGGTAAACGTCTTCCTCTGCAATCTCCTGTTTTGCCTTCTCTGCTTGAACAGGCGTATTAGTGTTTGCCTGCTTCTAGTCTCTGCTGGAAGCTAGAAGCAAGCTTCTAGCCATAGAGATCACTGGTCTAGGAGTCTAAGTCTGATTTATGCTTTTGGTTGGCAAAGATCTTTCTTAGTCATTTTATGTTTTTCACAGGCTTGAAAAGGTCTCAGTAACCAAAATCACAGCATCATGGAAACTGTAGAAAATAGGACTAGAAAGGATCCCCAGAAATCAGTTGTTTTTTTTTTTTTTTCTCTTTCTGTGAAAGTCTCCAAATGCAATTCCTTCACAACACTTGTCCAGCTCCTTGCTGTGCCAGAGGCAGCATTTAGCAAATATTATTAAAATAGCTGCAAGATTCCTATATCACACAGGGATGCAGACAGATAAAGTCATGCTGGAAGTGGGAGGCTTGGCATAATGTGCCGGGTTTGACAGCGGGGTAGGGAGCCACGGGGTGCCGTGCAGCGCTGGCTGACAAGAGAGCCCTCATCTCCCCCGTGGTCTCCCGCAGGCTCTGACAGCAGCTTCCCAGGGGCTTCTGAACTGCATCGTGTACGGCTGGACCCAGCACGTCTTCCTCTCCCTCAAACGCAACGCCTGCCGGGACGTTGACACTCAGACTCCTCTCTTGCGCTCCCAGAAGAAATTCTACGCCAGCACGTTCCCCGCCAGCCCGCCGGATGCGGAGGGCTCCACGTCCACCCTGCTCTGATGAATCCCTGTGTCAAAGGAGGACAGGCAGCGTCCTAACGAGGCCTCGTCGTGTTTTAGCAACGTCAGCCAGACCCGGCATTGGGCTGTCTGCTGCGAACAGTCTTGCCAGCAGCAAAGTTAGTTGTAGTGCTGGAGGAGCCTGAGCAGCTCTGTCGGAGACAGACACTTTGATGAAGATAGTTATTTATTTTACAGGTTTGTATGGACTGTAAATCTATTCTTTAAACATGGGAAATCTTTAGTACAGACTTTCTCCTTATGGAAATATCTCTAGAAATGCAAAAAATTATATGTAACAGCTCAGAGACCTGGTACAGCTCCTTTGAGGGTAGGTGGTCAAAGGATGTTTTACTTCTCTCAGTATTTGCCATTACAAATTAACAGTAAAGCAAAGGTGAATATTTTTCAATCTCTGACTTTTCATTCACTATAAAAACAAGAACATGTACCATACTAATAGCCAACTGCAAGGAATGAAAAATTGCAAAGTAGCATAAGAAGATCACTTCTGTGCCTTGGCTTTTTGCACGTTCCCCTTCTGTTCTTCGTGCAAACTCCTGCTCAGCTGCAATACTCAGAAAAATAAGTTGCTTTGACTGGGTGGAGCATCTCTCATGAACCAGGTGAGCAGGACTTGGCATGAATCTGTCTATACTCTTCTAGATTCTCAAGTGAATTATTTACTAAGGTCCCACCGTTCTATAGAAAATAAAACAGATCTTTAGCTGCATTGAAAACAACTCCCTAAGTTTTACACTATTTATTTTTCTAACAGCTTAATTTTTTGGGTCCAACCCAAATTTATTTATATGATAGGTAATACAAGAAGAGGAAATACTCAAGTTTTGTGTAATTAACTTTCATACAGTTTGCACAGTTACATTGTGTAACTCACTGTGGAAGATCTCCTGGAACTAGCAGTCCAGCTTCAGGGACATAACCAAGGGCCTGTAGTCCTTTCCAAACCTTAGCTGGTGGGTTTCCTACTGCTTTCATGGTTTTTTTTAAACATCATCTTCTTGTTCCATATTCTGCTCCTCATCTGTAGGAGACTCACTTCTCTCTGTGGCCAAACTTGTACAGAAAAATGCAGCTATTGCCTTTCTGTATTTGGTTACAGCAATTAGGAGAGCAATCAGAATGAGGGCAATGGGAACTGTGAGCCCAATTACTGTCCCGAACACTTTATTTTGGATAGCCTCCACCATGGACATCATGAGAGGTGGTGGAGGGCCACTGTCAATGCTCCCTCCCAGGCCGTGGAACTGACAGTCCGGAGGAGCCCAGCCAGCTTCACAGTGGCAGTGTTCGAGGTTGTTGCAAACCCCTTTCCCCCAGCACAAAGCCTTCCCATTGCACTGTGTCCTGACCGTGGCATCTGTGCATGTCTTGTTAATACAGATCTTTTTTGGCCCACATCTGGTGCCATCGAGCCCTCCTCCGATATCAGGTGTTTCAATGCTGGCATGGTAGGCTGTGCCCCAGCACAAATCCTCAGGTCCTGGCGTCTGAATGATGGTTTCAGACCCCCCCAGAACAGGTATTCTCTTCACGTTGACACACTGCAGCCTTCCACACAGAGCGTTTTGGGGTTTACATCTCACAAAAGCAACTTTGGTCCCATCGCCGCCACAGTTGCCAAATCGATCCCCTTTCACATTCTGCTTTTTGAAGCAACTTTCTGGAGCACCCCGAGCTTCCTTCCCAAAGACTTTTTGGCACAGGTTGTCATAGGTCGCGCATTTCCCATGGTAGCAGTAGCCGTTGTCACTGCATGGCGTCCCATCGTGCACGTGAAAATCCTCCGGGCACCACGCAGAAGTCCCGTTGCAATATTCAGGTAAGTCACACTCATCCGCCTCCGACCTGCACTTGTGTCCTGCAGCACGAAAGTGGCATTTCTGACAGCATTGCCCAACAGAGCAGACAGCTCCTGGCTTCAGCCTGCAGTTTTGGTGACAGCAGGGATTGCCTTGGCAGTCCCGTGACCCACCACAGTCACACTGCTCTCCCTCCTCGATCACCTTGTTGCCACAGTGTTTAAAATGGAAGAGTCTGTGGGGCTCTGGGATGTTGTACAAGCAGTCACCATCCCCTCTGCTGATCAGGTCTAAGTAACTCTGCCTGCTGCAGTTGCTGAAAGCCTTGGCACCGTCGAGCGAGTCTCCTGTCATGTAGCACTTGGTGGCTTTTCCGCACACACACTCTTTTTTGTCGTGCTCCATCCCCAGGTTGTGACCCAGCTCATGAGTAAAAATTAATGAAAAGGTTATGAAGTCTCCCCGTATATGTGATACAATGCCTGATTGATAACCAGGGTAGCAGATGCTACCTACATATGCCAGCCCAACAATTAATCCGAAGTCCATGTAAGTAAATAAATATGCAATGTCATATTCCATCCTCTGAGATAGATCCCTATTTCCCCAGTCGTTAAAATTTGTAAGAACTTCTTCTATATCCTGGCTGTACCTGATGAAGTTGCTGTGCGTCCAGATCTCCAGCCCAATCAGGCAGATGCGAATATTCAGAGGATAGTAGTATGTTTCGGCTAAATTGATCGTATCTGTAACCAGAATCATCACAGAGGTCTCATTGCTTCCTTGGAAGGAAAACAGGTAGTTGTCCACCACAACAGCTATCTCAACATACTTGGTGTGCTTCAGTCTGTGAGACAAGTCGTACTTTCCTAAGGCTGTTTTAGATCCCATGCCACCCTGTTGGTTTTGGATCACCTCATCCGTCAATCCGCACATCGAGGGCTTGTTCTGGGTCTTCTCTCGCCGATAGAGAAGGTGCTGGAAGGTGAGGGACCCCGGCACAGGTTCGATGCCGTAGCTCAGGTTCCCAATTTCCAGCTGCCCCTTCAGACCTGAGCAGGTGCTCAGCGTGGCGAGGGAGCCTGGGCTGCCCTCCACGTAGCCCAGGTAGAAGCACTCCTTGGGGACATGGGGCTGTTCCACCACCCTTGTCCCTCTGGGGCTGTATGTGATGACCGGCAGGTTTTTCACCAGAAATCCCCTCTTCTGTGTGAGGTGGATGACACGGTTCTCCCCCTCCACCCTGAGGACGTAGGACACGTCTTCCTCTGTGGTTTTTCCCACCCTGGGGGCCAGTTTCCTTGGCCGGACTATCTCATGGACAGCGTAGCCCGCCGGTGGATGATGGCTGTTGGCCCTGAGGAGGAGAGATGACATCAATGCTGCCCAGACCCCCAGCCGGAGGAGCAGGACTTTCCCTCGGCCGCCATGATGTGTCTGGAGCCATCTCATCACCAACGCCTTCAAAATGGCGGTAAGCCGCCTCAGGGAGGCTCCTGCCAACCCTCGCACAGACATCTTGACCCTCTCTCCCTTGAGGTGCTCAGGCAGCGGCTGTGCTAGAGTTGTCCCCTCAGGGCTGGCACGGGACCCAACATAGGTGCGTGCCGTCCTCCTTCCCCGAGGGGCGGCCATTCCCCTCAATGTCCCCTGAGAATGTTCTGGAAGCGCCGCCGCCCCTCCCAGCCATGTTGTCAGCCTGTGGCTGTGACATAAGGCCGGGGTGGAGCGAGGCCGTGGCATGGGGGTTCCTGTGAGGTGACAGGGACGGAGGGCACCCATCCCCGCTCTGCTGCCTTCACTGGGGCTCTGCAGGGTGGCTCTCGCGGCCAGGGAGTTGCGGTTGATCTTCAGAGCCGCTCCCTTGCTGCTCGGTGCAATTTGGGGAGCTACGGGTCCTCACCACCCCCTTTTCCTCCTCCCCCAAGGGGGGATCCCTGCCCAAACATTGCTTGTGGACCATGAATTTGAGAATTAACCACAGTAACACTCCTCACAGCAAATTAACTTTACAAAAGTTGATGCCCCTTAGCCACCACCTCCCTTCCTTTACCAGCCTGTAAACCAGACAATTTTCTTAATCACACACCTCTCTCAGTAAAAATATTCTGAGCATCCACCCCTAATATACACATATTTAGTTATTTATAACTTATATGCCTGTAGTACTGACGTTCTATTCTTTTCTTCGGAGACCCCTGCTGTAAACACCACCCACGTGGCAGCAGCCGGTGGTTATCCCCGCATGTCTGGCCCGTGCCTGTCAGATGTCAGGCGCAGCTTTTTATACACAGAAAAACATATCACACAAACACATGAGCGCCAGCAGACAGCAACGTCTGAATTTATCATTAACCAGGTCTACCTGGAGATCAGCAATAGCCCATAACAGTGGGGTAAATTCCCTCTTCTAGCACGAAATGCTCCTGCTCCCCAGCATTTATCTGCTTCTTTGGGAAGTGCTGAAATAAGTTTGTTTTTTGTTCTGTTTTTTCTTGGGTTTTTTTTTTTTTTGCACCATCCCTATTCTGCTTCAGAGCCGCTCCTGTACACACTGCTTCCACCTCTCACAGACACCTCCACAGCAGCCTGGCTTTTTTGTCAGCTCAGCCTGGCAGAGAGTGGATGCTGCTGACAGTTTCTTTACCTACTCAAAGCCTTCCTACAACCTCCTGTCCAAATGATCCTGCCAGCTTTGTACTCTTCACAGAGGCCACTGACGTGAGCAATAATGGTCTTTTTTTTTTCCTTTCCTCATTTCTTTTCAGATATATTCTACATCTTTTTCTCCTGTAATCAAGCCTCAGAGCCCTTTCTTCCCTCCTCCTGTCTCCCACTTAATGCTGCCTGATGTTTTCAGCAGCTCACATTTGTTCCTGGGCTTTAGTGCTGCAGAGTTGGTGCTCAGGTGTGCCCAGGAGGGGCTCAAAGCTGGTCACGCTGCCTGGACCCCCGGCTCTGCAGGAGGTGGCTATAGAGTGTGGAGACAGAGTCTTATACGGTGGTGTGGACAGTTCCTCAGGGGACGGTGTTGGGCCCGGCGCTGTTTAACATATTTGTTGGTGACATGGACAGTGGGATCAAGTGCACCCTCAGCAAATTCGCACATGACACTGAGCTGTGTAGTGCGGTGACACACGGGAGGGAAGGGATGCCATCCCGAGGGATCTGGACAGGGTGGAGAGGTGGGCCCAGGTAAACTTCTTGAAGTTCAACAAGGCCAAGTGCAAGGTCCTGTGCATGGGTCAGGGTAATCCAAAGCACAAATCCAGGCTGGGTGAGGAGTGGGTTGAGAGCAGCCCTACGGGGAAGGACTTGGGGGTACTATTGGATGGAAAACTGCCTGGGAGCCAGCAATGTGTGCTCACAGCCCAGAAAGCCACCCATGCCCTGGGCTGCATCAAGAGCAGGGTGGGCAGCAGGGCCAGGGAGGGGATTCTCCCCCTCTGCTCCGCTCTGGGGAGACACCCCTGCAGTGCTGGGGCCAGCTCGGGGGCCCCCAACAGCAGAAGGACACGGAGCTGCTCAAGCGGGGCCAGAGGAGGCCACAAAGATGCTCGGGGGGCTGGAGCAGCTCCCCTGGGAGGCC